ATAATGCATTTTCTTTTTGCCTTCCAAGAACCGGTTTACGCCTGTTCCACACGAGAAACGCGACGCCTTACCCTGTTGATAGGCGCCGGAAACGTAAATAGTGACATTAGATTACACCGTAGACACATTCTATATGATTATCGCAACATATATGATAGGTCAGGCAGATTCTGTACGATCTGTCGCACCAACAAGACAGCTTGCTGCTCTCCCTCCGAGTTTTGCACAGGCCCGAGAGCTACATTTGGTGGTGCTAGAATGTTGGGTTTCGAGATAGGAGGGCAGGGTGAAGATCCTCTTGAAGATGGGCTTGGATCAGCACGCAACGATCCGCTCGTGGACGGGGCGGCGACAACGCCTGCTCTGACCGTAGTGGGCGTAGTATCAAACAGAGAGAAGTCCGCAGAGGCCCAAGGATCGGTACCGTGAGGTGGTGAAACCTCCGACGAAGAATGTTGTGATTTATCTGGCGTGACATCTGCTGACACATGTATATCAACCTGTGAGCTAAGTACGTTGGTGGTCACCTCCGTAGATATTTCTGGCGTGTCTGGGTTCTCAGGGGGTTTCCTGGCTTCAGTGGCAATTTGAGTTATTGGCGCCGTTGCATCGTCCAGGCTGTGACGTGCTTCACCGCCCTTGAATGCTTCCTGCGAAGGCGATATCATTTCACCCCAATCATCATCGTCACCACCGTCGTCGTCGTCGCCGCCGCCGCCGCCGCCGTCCTCACGATTTGCGTGTCTCCCACCGACGACTGGCTGAGCGCGAGGACCCCCGCTGGAAGATGGTGCGGCTAGTGTTGGAAAAGAAGGACTGCTCGTCCTGTCCGATAGATGGAGGGGCTCTGGGACATTCAGAGCTGAGCTGGTGGTATTCCGTGGCGCGAGGGGAGCATTGGCCGGGGGCACGGAGGCTGAACTCCAGCCAAAGCTGGCCAAGGGCGAAGAGGTACTTGAGCCCACAAGACCGAGTGAGCCCACCGATCCACCAGTAGCATTCTGCTGGCCAACAAGGCTACCCCGAGAACCCACAGAGAAGGCTGGACTATGCGGTGGTGATGAGATGGAATTCGTTTTCGAGTGCGCCGCCACTGGTTTGCGCGCGAACACTTGGTCTAATCCGACGGGTGCGGCGGAGGAATCCCAATTGAAAACACTGGATCGCTTGCCGCCACCGAGCGACGGCTTGCCGGAGATCGAGTCCTCCTCCATCCATCTCCTCACGACTTTGATGGTATCGGTGCGGACCTCTGAGGCTTGCCATGACACATTGTGGTAGTTTTCTTCGTCACCAGAATTGTGTTTGCGCATTGAGCCATAGCGAGAAACACGATACCAAGCCTTGCGCTCTCCAATGCTATCGAAACTGTCGGTCACGATGCGGTCCAATGGGTCATCGATTGATCCGACTTCGTCTCCTGTGAGCCCCGGCGCGTCCGCATAGAGTTGCTCCAGATTTGCCAAATCCACCGAAAATTTAATGACGCCAAATTTTTCAATCAGCTCTTGTACAGGCACCGTAGATCTCTTCGGCCTAGGCGTACGGTACTCGGCACTCCCTGCCCTGGCAACGGCAACGGGGCTGAACTCGTCCTTGAGCTTGGCCCTAGGGGTCGAAGATCTATCAGAGGATGGAGATGACTCGGACTCCTGCAAACGCTCCTGAAGCTCGGGCATGAAGTCGTTGGAATTGGGAGTGGTTGTGTCTGCTACGGACTCGGAAGAACCTGGTGGACGGCTGCTGGATTTAGATGGGTTGGGGACTTCTGGTTCTTCAGAGGTGGCTCGGGCGAGCCCATCGAAGAGACCAACGAGTTGTGACACCTTGCCAGAAACCTTTCTTGCCGGTCGTAGGGGCCGGGTATTGGTATCCTCATCGATTGAGGTGATGGGAGAATCTTGGCGATCGAACGATCGATCGGTCTCGACAGAAAAAGCGGATGATGGCCGTGATGGAGGCTCCCTCTCTTCGACTGCTGCCACAGCCGTCGCCTTACGTACGCTGGACTTGTCGACAGACAGGCCGGATCCACCCGCAACCAGCGGGTCCTCCTTTTGCGTGTGAGGCGATGCGTTCTGTTCGGAAGCCGTGATCTCATCCTTCTCGCTCGCCGTTGGCCCATCGACCTGTATGACGACGGCAGTGGTAGTGGCCCCATGCGGCGGGTCGCGGTCCCTGCCGTGCGCGGTGGGGGATGGCGACTGTATGTCGGCAGGGTCGTTCCATGGCGACTCAACGGCCCAAGGATCAGGTGAGTGTTGACGGAAGACGGACGAAGCGCGGGACCGGAGGGCGGGCCTCAAACCTGGGGACGTCGCCGTGCTATCAGGCCAGGCGATGGGGGAGGGCTGCTTCCCGGGCGAGTCGGTCCTGAGGGGTAGCGCCGAGTCAGCCCAGGGTGAGGTATCGACGGCATCGGCGGCGTGAGTGTCGTTTGCCCAGGCGCCAGCGACACCATCGTCAGCCCAAGGCGAGAGGGCAGAAGGGGCACCCGGGCCGGAGGCGAAGAAGGCTTTCGGCGGCAGGCTCAAGAAGGACTTGGACTGGGCGGGCGGAGGGGGGGACGGCAAGGGCGGCAGATTGGTGGTGGGCACAGAGTCGGAGGAGGCCCACGGTGAGCCCCAAGGATCGTCCATGACTGCGCATGGTGGGTGGCGGGGCGAGGGTGAGGTCAGCGGCGATGCTCTCGCCGTCTGTCATGAAGAGGAAGAGCCGGGGCGCGGAGGGCTGGGCGAGGACATGGTCGAGAGAGCACGCGTCGCAATCGTCTGGTCGCAGCACAGTCGAGCTGGCTGCCGATTGACGGGGGCGTGGTCACGGACGGGCCAAGTCGGGCGACGTGTCGCAACAGCTGGCAGGATGCGAAACAAAAAGCCAGGAGCGCAAGCGATCAATGTTTCTTGTCCACGACCGATGGGCAATGGGATGCCGCCATGCGTTCAGGGGGCACGGCCGCGAAACCGCAGCATCTCCTGCCGCCAATCCCGGCCGCCCTGCCTGGGACCTGGGACCTGGGACCTGGAACTGGAACTGGAACTGGAACTGGACAGATTTGGGGCAGGGCTGTAGAGGGCCAATGAGCGACAGGCCCAAGCTCTGACAAGTTCGCCTCGCCCCGCCAGCCCCGTGTGGCCTATCAAACACGACCTCGGAGCCCGCCCACCTGGGCTTGGCACTCTGGGACTGGGGAGACTGGGGGGCCGGGCTTCCTCTTTGACGTGACCGGCAAACCGGGGACCAAGGTACCGAGTACTATGTAGGTACGTTAGTCGCACACAGCAAGCCAACTTGACGTGGCTAAAGCGAGCGGGTGGGATGGAGGGGCAGCTCCCCGAGCGGCTAGTTAGACAAAGCCCGACCAGACCACTGTGCATGCTACACAGCAGTACGTACAGTACATACGCACTGGGAAGGCGAAAATTGCTGATAAATACCAATTACCGGCTGCCGATGTCCGGAACGGAGCAGGCTCCATCCCCGGGGCAGGACATGAAGCCGCCATATATCGCACCATGGGGCGACCGCTCTGTTTTGTCACACTGCCCACCGCCATATCAGCAAGGAGACCGATCACCGTCCACACTCACACCCGCCGCCTTGCATCATGTCCCTATCGCGGGTTAAGCACATTGTGCTGGTATGTTGCCCGCCCCTCCCTGCTTCCCCCCCCTCCCCTCCCCGGGCCTCCCCCCCGGCCCGCCAACTTGTGGTAGCTGCCCCCGCGCAGATAGGATGCCGATGCTGACGCTGCCGACCGTGGCGCAGGTCCTCTCAGGAAAGGGAGGCGTGGGAAAGTCGTCGGTGACCACACAGCTGGCCTTGTCCTTGTCGCTCGCTGGCCACTCGGTCGGCGTCCTCGACGTCGATTTGACCGGCCCGTCGATGCCGCGCATGTTCAACATCGAGGACGCCAAGGTCACACAAGCCCCCGGCGGCTGGCTGCCCGTCCCCGTGCATGAGGCCGATCCCGCCGCCGGCGTGGGCCAGCTGCGATGCATGAGCCTCGGCTTTCTCCTGCACGGCCGCGGCGACGCCGTCGTCTGGCGCGGGCCCAAGAAGACGGCCATGGTCCGGCAGTTCCTGTCCGACGTGCTCTGGGGCGACGTCGACTACCTGCTCATCGACACGCCGCCGGGCACGTCGGACGAACACATCTCGCTCGCCGAGACCCTCCTCAAGGACGCGCGCCCCGGGCAGGTCGCCGGGGCCGTCGTGGTTACCACGCCCCAAGCCGTCGCCACGGCCGACGTCAGGAAGGAGCTCAACTTCTGCGCCAAAACGGGTATCCCGGTCATCGGGGTGGTCGAGAACATGGCCGGGTTCGTGTGTCCCAACTGCGCCGAGTGTACCAACATCTTCAGCAAGGGGGGCGGCCAGGTCATGGCGCAGGAGTTCAACGTGCGGTTTCTGGATGCCGTGCCCATTGACCCCCAGTTCGTCATGCTGATCGAAACGGGAGGGCGGCCTACCTACCCGCAGGGCACCGTGGTGCACGGCGAGGACCTGTCGGCGGCCGGGCGCGAGGTGTCGAACGAGCCGGCACGCAAGGACTCGAGCCTACTGGCTGACAAGTACCGCAGCTGCTCACTGGAGCCCATTTTCAGGAAAATCACGCAGGATGTGGTCGCCGCCATTGGATGAGCAGCGGAGCACCGTTCTACATATGTAGGTATAGCCGCGTCCTGCGTGGGCGGTCAATGGGCTATGGAGGAGGCCTCGGGTTCTGATGGGGCCCGCAGGCATTCATCATTATCATCACCATCACCATCACCATCACCACCACGGCTGAGGCCTGCAATGTGTTGCTCATGCCCTGGCCGCGTGGCTGGGGGGCTTGCCTTCAAGCCAACCAACAACTGGCTACATCAAAAACAAGAAAGAAAGAAAGAAAGAAAGAAAGAAAGAAAGAAAGAAAGAAAGAAAGAAAGAAAGAAAGAAAAAAAAAAAAACCTGGCAGGCGGCGACATATCATCTCAAGGCCGCGGAACTATGGTCACTCGTCCACTCATAACTTTTGGCGTTGCTGTTACAGGTGGCCGTTACGAGACCTGGCGGCTGCTCGCAGCAGAGTCGCGACCTCGGATTACCTAATTTGAGGCTCGACCTGGCGCCAAGGCCTTGATTGGTACCTGACGTGGGGTTCGGGACCCGAGGCAGGACTGTGTAACAAGGGCAAGAATCAAACTTTTTCCCTGTTCCTGCACGCATGCATGGGTTGTACGATGCCACCGCAGAGCTGCCACTTGATACCATATAGACAAATCGCCGGTCCCCCTGGGTGAGGTGATGTTGGATGGGGTCGAATGCACTGCCGGCCGCGGGATACCTGGGTAGCACAGGCTGGCTGGCTGCTTGCCGCGTGCGGTTCGCCGAGTGGAGACCGGCGTGTGGCCTACCAGAGAGAAAGCAGGGTATAGTCATCTGCAGCGAGTAACGGTACAACCGTACATGATGCCACAAACACTACCAGTACCGGTCGCGGTGCCACAGAGGTCGGGGAGGCAACCCGACGCGTTAAAGACTTTGAGGTGCTGGGAAGTGAACCACAGTAACGGCTCTGCCCCGCGTTTCCTCTTCGCTGCCGTAGCTACGTGTACTTGGCTTGGGAGCTACTGTAGGTACCTTGGCTACGCAGCTTGGGTCTCTAGGTACTTGGCTTACGTACTAGTAGCCTGTCTACCCAGGTATGCAATAGTCAAGTCAAGACCTGTACTATGGTAGATGGCTATTTTTTCTCTGAATTTTTTTTCCCCCCTCCCCTTCCCAACCTTGCCCAACCTGCGTACTGCCCCCACTTTCGGTAACGCGCCCAGTGACCTCACAGGCTTTCGCCCGCATACAAAGTGGCTCGCAGTGGGAATCAGGAACCTGGCCGTCGGTCTGCTTCTGCGTCTCCCTCTGTCCAGTGCCACCTCTCTGGAGAAATCTCTCACCGACACCGAATTATTTTTTCTCCCCTCTGGCACTTCCGGACGTTAGTTAGGGTGGCCCGATACCACAATAGATCACAGCTCCATCACAAGCCCCGACCGTTGTCAGGTCGCACTCCATCCATCCATCCAGTCTTTGCTTCGTGCCCGGCCGTAATCTTTTTTTTTTTTTCCCACTGCGCCACTACCACCACCACCACCACCACCACCACCACCACAACAACAAGGACCAAGCTCGGATACCTGCCTACCAGGCCTTCCATGAACCCGGCTGTCCTGCTTCGCTTCCTCTTCTCCAAGCCAGCAAAGTGAGTCGGCCCCATACATAGCCTCTCTCATAGGACAGACTGTTCCCACTGCTCTCGTGACCCCTCCCCGTTGTCCCGCCGTCCCGCCGTCTCGGTCCCATCCGCATCGTCGTTGTTGACTCGTTGTTACAGGCCTAGATAACCTCCAGCAACTTCATCCAACCCCCAGCAGAGCCTCTTCACTCCCCGGTCCAGTGCCAACAACCGTCTACCGGTAGACGTGCCGTCTCGTCGCACCACCAGCACCCGCAGATCTCCTCGTGTCTGCCAGGCCCGATACTCCTCCACAGGTATCGGTTTCTTGCCAGAGCGAGGCCGCCCCGAGAATAGTCACAATTCCTTCGTCTCAGGTCTTCCTCCTCCCCCCTCGCGGCCGCCCTCCTTAACGTCCCCTACGCACGACGTGGGACCACCATACACCTGTTGATTGCTGCTGGCGCCGCCAGCCTCTTCTCTCATCCCACCCACCTGTGGGCCTGCTCCTCAGACGGACGCCGCAAGGTTCGTTTGGGCCGCAGTCAGTGCTCCGCGGTAGCAAAAGCCTCTCTTGGCGCCTGTCGCCACCTCCACGACATCAGACACCTTCGCTACCCCAAACGCAGAGCTGTAGCCTCGTTGCTAGGCCCCAGGTTCGCACGGAGATGGTCGACTTTGAGCTATCTCCCAGCCAGACTCTCGCGCCATCTGAGGACGTCCCTCAGTTGACGATCAATCATGATGTTGCTGCCGATCTAGATTCTAGCAGCGCCTTCGAAGGTACGTTTCCTGTTGCGTGCCCCTCCCCTCCCGCGCGCGTGTTTGTCCCGTGCGTGAGGCAACAGCAGCCCCTTGCTGACCACAGCCCCCTTCGTCGTCACAGGCCCTGAGAAGCTTCTCGAGGTATGGTTTGCGCCAAGTGCCGATGCCCTCCCCTCGGGCACCAAGCCCGACGGCTTGAAGGCTGTCTCGGCCGACACGTGGGTGCCCATGCTGGACGAGGTCCACTGCAAGGTCCTGTCGGTCGTCAACTCGGAGCACATTGATGCCTATCTTCTCTCCGAGTCCAGCATGTTTGTCTTCCCCCACAAGCTCATCCTCAAGACTTGCGGCACCACCACCTTGCTGCGTGGGCTGCAGAGCCTCCTCCGCATCGCTGCCGTTGAGGCCGGGTTTCCCTTCCACAACGTCAAGTCGGTCGAGGACCCTCATGTGGCTGCCACCCCCTACCGCGTCTTTTACAGCCGCAAGAACTTCCTCTACCCGGAGAAGCAGCCCTTGCCTCACCGAAGCTGGGGCCAGGAGGTCAAGTTTCTGGACGACATGTTTGAGCACGGCAGCGCCTACATGGTCGGCAAGATGAACGGGGACCACTGGTACCTGTACATAACCTCTCCGCAGAGCACTCTCACCCCCCCGCGCACCCCCGAGGAGGAGCGGACCCCCACCAACTCGACCCGCCCCTGGAGGATCCCGACCGGCCTGGCCTCTGCTTTTGACGGCGCCGCCGAGAAGAATGATGAGACCCTCGAGGTTCTGATGACGGACCTCGATCCCGAAAATGCGAAGCAGTTCTACTTGGAGCGCGCGAGTGCGGTCGCGTGCGCCAAGCTGCCTGCGCAGATGGACGAGGCGCGCCGGGACGCTGTTGGGAGCCTTGGCGACCTGTCAGCGAGCACCAGCACGATCCAGACCGCCAGCACAGCCGAGAGCCTGGGTGACGAGACGTTCGATGAGACCAGCCTGGCCAGCGAGTCCGATCGTCCGGGCACCAACACGCCCATGTCTGAGCTGGTCGACCCGGCCAGCCTGACGACCGAGGGCCACGCGCTGGGCACCGTCGTCTCGGACGGCTGCGGACTCTCGGACGTATACCCGACGTCCAAGTACCCAGATGCTCGCATCGATGCTTACATGTTCAATCCCTGCGGCTTCTCTGCCAACGGTGTCATCCCTGCGCCTCAGAGGCTCGACGATAACGGAGACGGCAAGTCCAACCACTACTTCACCGTTCACGTGACACCCGAACCTCAGTGTTCGTACGCCTCGTTTGAGACAAACGTCCCTGGCGGCCAGAATGGACGTGACACTTCGGACGTCATTGAGCATGTGGTTGGCATCTTCAAGCCTGGGCATTTCAGCGTTACCCTGTTCGAGGCCAAGGGCACGGGTGATGCTCCTGCTGGCGTGGGACGCAGCAAGCGTGTTGAAAAGATTCAGGGGTACCGCCGGATTGATCGCATCGTCCATGACTTTGATGATTACGAGCTGGTCTTCCAGTATTACGAACGCGACGGTTGGGTCGGTGGAACCGGCGTTCGTGTTGGTGAGGAGATGTAGGTTGTTGGGCGGTAGTCTTGATTGAACAGACTGCTAGGAATGTTGGTGGTTTTTGAGCTTGCTACACCGTTTCATTAATTTCCTACCATTTGCGACCACTGGTTACACATGTTGCACATCGAACTGGAGATGGCGAAGCTATGGAGGTCGACGTTGTGGATCTGAAAAGGTCACTGGAAAGGAACATCAGGGATCGCTCCTTTGGCATCCTGTCCATCATGTTTTGTTAGTTAGCATCTGCGTATCGATTCAATTTTACTCTCTGTTGCTCTGTGCTCCCAAGGTCTCCAACTTTGCCCCCGGATACGCATCGAACGAATATATCTGCGTCTAATTAGACCAGGGCTCAGACAAAGAGTCAGAGTTAGAGACACCGCCAGGCACTATGCGTTGCCGTGGACATCGCGACCGAGCAAGCAAGCAAGCAAGCAAGCAAGCAAGCAGGCCCACCAGGCTCGGGCCTCGGCCTTGCCGTTGTTCGTTCTAACGTTGCACTTCAAGCAAGAGGTCCTACCGAATAGCGAGCGCAGATTATGGCTACGACGTGCGTGTCTCATCTGGATCAGATACCCGCCCCGGTCACCTACAACTTCGTCCCAGAATCACCAATTGCAGCGTTTCCAGTCTCCGGTCGTACCGTCTTCAAGGGAATCACCACGATGGTATTTAGTGATGCAGGATCTATGCAAACTGCTGATTCACGTGCAGCACAAAGTAATCTCCCTTAGCTAGTGACCCACGACAAGCTCGATACTGTCCCCAGTCTCGACTCGCAGCCGAGGATATTGAGACAGGTACATTGTAATGTTCAGCAGTCGTATAGGGGCACGTTGCCTAACCCGGGTTGTAAGTTGTGGCAGTTGGGGCTATATAATAACGTCAACCCCACAAGCTGTGCCATCAAACCATTCTTGGACCGTCGACCACCACGCCTCACCTGCCTCCCGACAACCCGAGATCTTTCACGGGTGAAGATGCGAGTATCAGCTAGACTCTTCATCTTGGCCGCCGTTACCTCTCAAAGCTCTGGGTCTGACACCAATCTGGTTGGTAGGCAAAGCCCTCCTGGTAGCTATGTCGAAGCTTGCCCAAATCCCAATTACCAGGGCCTCAGTCCCGAGATTCCGTGCCTGAACTTCACCAATCCTACGATTCTTCAAGGTTACGGTCAGCGTATTTGTAGTACGTCGCATAGCCTAGGCTACCTCGTCGCTCTTTGCCAACGACTGACGTCCCATTCTTCCCGTCTAGCATCCCTAACGGACACACCCCTACGCGTTGGGTCACCCCAGGGGATATCGTCCGTAAGAATGTTCCCATCCGGTGTCATGAACTGCACTCTTTACAAGTGAGTTTGCCGTTGGCCACCGACCCACGGAATATGCGTGACAAGTGCTGGGTAGGAGTTGGACCTCGCGGATACTGTCCTGACGCATTACTACAGGTCCGAGGACTGTCTCCCTGATAATCCTGCGAACGGCTTTGTGATTCCAGCCGGTGGCTCCGAATCTCTACCTGACGGCGTTGATGATACGACCGTGGCTTTCAAGTGCGAGCCACTCGTGGGCTCTTCCAACTCTACGTCTACCAAAGCCTTGTTGCCGACTTTTTTGACACGTTGACGGCCCACGAGGCGGACCCGATCAGCTGACGCAAAGCAACACGAGGTGGAAGACCATACGTCATGGAGCCCGCTTCGACTATACGCAAGCAAACCCAAGGTGGACCATGTAGGATGGCATAGTAACTCCAGTAGGCATCGTATGTGTTCAATTGACAATATCCTCAGCGTGGTATCCAACCGCTTTTGTGCAAGATGCGCATGTTTGCCCCTGTTGTACCCTTTCATCACTTTTTGCATTCTTTATTACCAGTTTGGGCAGCAGTAGAACGGTCTCGTATATATATATGTTGCGGCCAGCATTCTAAGTTTAAGCAGCCCACATTAATTTCTAGTGCATAGTTGGTCTATCTTGAGTTCAAATTGTGTTGATAGGACTGTAAGACAAGTAATTCCAGTGCTGCAAAGCATCGCTATTGGCACCAGGCCGTCAGATGTGTCTCGTCGTTCGGGGTACGGTCAAGTTGGTATTGAAGGGTTCTACCACGTTATAGATACACTTATTTGTACCACGGAGAGTCCGTGAGTTGCAAGCAGGCTATGGTCGCCAATGTTATGCGGAGCATTCGGGATAGACATGCCTTGGCATAGTGGGGTTAGGAAAGAGATAACTCTTGTTCTTGGTAATTCCTTCATCTGCGTAGTAACCACCCGTGGTTACTAAATGCCTGGTTTGCGTGATACCTTGCGTTTGCTCGTATGGGCTAGGATTTGATGCCTGGCGGATTTTCCCGCGCTCTCCGAGGATGCCGGAAAAACTGCGCCAAGCTGCCTTCACGGTTTGTCGGTAGTTAAGGCGTAGATGAACGGTAACTTTAATAAAGCAGATTAAAAAGACGTGTTCCGGGGATCGGGGCAATGCGGCCCAAGTTCATGCCTCTGATGGCGAGAGCCGGGCCGTCGGCGTGGGATCCCTGGTTCGTGTTGGTTCCAACCCCTGTGCAGATCACCGTTTCTGGCATAACATAGGGGGCTCTTCATTTGCCCGTACGTAGGGCTACTGGCTCGCAAAACTCAAACCGGTCAAATACCAACAAGGTGCCTGACTGACAAAGCTTGCATTCCATAACCAGTATGGTTGGTTAATTTGGCAATAGTTATTACTCGTTTCGCTTGGCAACTTTATTTCCAACCCGCGCCATGTATCGATCAAGACGACCTTCTTTTAAAGGCTGGAATGGCCAGTTGCCCTGAGAGACTCCTACTCTACCAATCCAGTCGCTCACTTCCCTTTCTTGTCGTTCATTTACACACTTGATTTCACTAGTAATCATGAGGGTACACGGTAACCTCGTCAGTAGCAGTTTCGTTGCGCTAGCACTCGCCTCGGGTGTTCAGTGTCTTCGCAAGGTCATCTACTTCGACCAGTGAGTGTGTCCCCTATATTGGTCGTACGATCAGTACTAACAGATACCTTTTCAGATACCATACAGCGACCTTGCCGCCTCGCAATGTGACTTCGGGTATTACACACGTCGTCATGGCTTTTGCCAACTCCTCACTATTCATTGGGGACACGGCCGGCCCGTACACGCCATTCATGAATGTCAGTGACGTCCGCAACCTGTTCGATCAAGGGACACAGATCGGTATTGCTCTTGGTGGATGGGCCGACACAGCTGGGTTCAGTGCTGGGTCCAAAGATGATGCTTCGCGGAAGACGTATGCCCAGAATGTCGCCGACATGGCGGATAGCCACGGGTTTGACTTTGTTGGTAAGAAATTACGTTCTGCAGGACGCCACCTGCCGGTGGATTCTCATCCTGCACACCGACTCCACCATACTGACAGATCTTAGACATTGACTGGGAGTACCCGGGCGGTAACGGAGCCGACTATAAGGAAGTTCCTAACTCCGAGAAGGTAGACGAGATACCAGCTTACCCGAAGCTGCTCAAGGAGATCAAGGCCGCCATCAGCCCGAAGCCCCTGTCCATCGCCGTGCCGGGACTTCCAAGGGACTTGCTTGCTTACAACGAAGAGCAGTCTCCTGACATTTGGGCAGCTGTCGACTTCGTCAACGTGATGTCTTATGACTTCATGAACCGCCGCGACAACGAAACTAAGCACCATACGGACCTCCGCACTTCACTTGAAGCTGTAGATGCATACCTGGACCTGGGGTTATGCCCCAGTAAAATCAACCTTGGATTCGCATTCTACGCAAAGTATTTCCAGACCGAGCCCGGCGTCGACTGCTCAGCAACACCAATCGGTTGCCCCATTGTCAAGGCCGAAAACGACGACGGTAGTGACGCAGGGACTAGTGGATCGATGACATTCGAAACTGCCAATGTTGCCCCCAGCGTACCGGGAAATCTGTCGACGAGCACAGACGGGTCTTGTGGTACGGGCACACCATTCACCTGCCAGGGCGTAGCAGACGGCCAGTGTTGCAGCCAGTACGGCTTCTGCGGCTCGTCAGCCGCACACTGCGGTACTGGGTGCCAGTCCGACTATGGCACTTGCTCTGGACCTGCTATTCTTGATTCCTTTTCCAAGGCTCTAAAGAATGGTATCACCGACGACGAGGCTGGAGGTCAGTGGTACTGGGATGCAGATGCCGAGCTGTTCTGGACATACGATACGGTGGCTCTGATGCAGCGCAAGTACACTGAAATTGTCAAGGCCAGGGGTCTAGGTGGTGTGATGGCCTGGTCGCTGGGAGAGGATAGTTATGACTGGAGCCACCTTCTTTCGCTTGTGCACGACACTCGAGGCATTCGCACCGCCAGAAGGGGCCCTGTCAAGACATCTGGCTTTCACCAGGGGCGTGCCCTACCGCTGGGATCTCACAGGTCCCGCCATGTTTGAGCCGCTTCGACATCTTGGAGGATAAATTGGGACAGGATTTAGACAGTTTCTGTATACACACATGGCTGTGGCCGTTCTTTCCTTGCCTGGCGGCATCTATCGCATTCGCATTATTGACCCGTAGAGGCGGTACTCCAAGCAACAGGCCATGAATTGACTGGCAAACTCTTGGCCAGGGTTGCCAAGGTATGATGTTTAGAGCGCCCGGTGTCTCCCCAACTTGCTAGGAACAGTCGAACGTTGAGCTACATTTGCTTCTGGCACTGTCATGACAGAACGAGACAGGATACTCCAAAGGAAAGGCATGGCCCCTACAAACATTTGAACGGCGAGGAGGCCATGGGTAGTAAAATGACAGTTGAGAAGGGTCGAGTCAGGGTGGTGCCCTGGAGAGTCTAGCGTAGCTCCTCCAGGATACGCTTGACCTCATTACCATCTACCTGTTCGGAGCCACTGACAGTAATACAGGAAGAGTGCATCCAAGACGTTGTAGTTCCGCTACCCAATCCCAAGGTCCGTCGAATGTGACCAACATTTGTGCTTCGAATGCCACCACCGATGATGACTTCAACCCCGTCCCCTGCCTTCCTGAATATGCGGTCTAACGTCTCTACATTTTCCAGCGCGTTCCCCAGTCCGCCTGATGTCAGTATGCCGTCAAACCCGACTGCTATGAGATCCCCTAGCCCGGACTCCCATAGCAAAGCCCGAGTGTCGGCGTCATAGGCTCGTCCTACGACTTCGTCGAATGCACGGTGGAAAACGGCCTTGAAAGGTCTTGCAGCGTTAACCAGACGTCTGCAGCTGTCCACGTCTATCGCGGCATGCCTGCTTCTCGAGGCATCTGTGCCGACCACTGCTTGCGCGTTGGGCGCATTCAAGACGCCAAAGACAAAGCCATCGCCTCTTGGCTCGCTCATCATCCCAGATGCCTTGAAATCTCGGATTGCCTGTTCCATGGTGTCCAACTCTGCTCTCGAGTACACAAAGTCCAGACCTCCTGATGAGGGCGGACCTCGCGGTCGAATCATTACTCTGACTGGCACCACCAGAGACTCCAATTGTGCAATGTCCTTGATCCTTGGCGTAAGGCCTCCGTCCGCATACGATCCCTCTGCGTTCAATTCGATGCGGGACGCCCCAGCTAAAATAGCTGTCGCCGCCGAGGCAGCACCAAATACCGGAATTTCAAGCCGCGTCGACATTGTTCGGAGCGATGCTTGGCGCGTCGATGTAATGGCATGCAGTTGAACTGAACGTGCGGGACAGGGCTAGCTACTTGAATGGTCAACCCGATAAATTTAATTATTTACATCCGCTTTCATTAAAATAAATATCATATAAACTTAAAGTTTTATATTATTATTTAATAATAAATAAATAAATGTGTTTGAAAAATGATTTATTTATTTATTTATTTATTAATATAGGTTTAAAATTATTAATAAAAGTCCGTTATAATTAACAAGTGTAATGGCTTATCAGACATGAGTGTTATGTACCTGGCTGATGCAGGGTAGGAGAGGGGAGGGGTGGCTTGCCCCCCCCCCCCCCCCCCCCCCGGTAGATAGCAAACGCAGTAGCTGTGGGGGAGCTCTACTTTCCTTTCCTCAGAATTTGCGGCAGAGCCTCTATTCACCTGTTGTGACGTGACATATGGGATGCAATGCGCTCTTCCACTCCACTTGGCAGTTAAGCCGTGAAATTTGTGGCGATACTGTTAATGTGAATTAATTCTCTGCTTTCCAAAGGCCTCTGATGACACTGTCACATGAGCAAGGAGGGTTCTGCTGGCCGGTCTCGGCCCATCAAAGTTCTCCGGTATTCAATGGCTGTCCAATCCTGACCTGCCTCCGCCATGATCGAGCACCAGTTGACGACACCAGACGTCAATGGGCTCTTCGAAGCGTAGCGGCTTCAGCCAGCACACGCAATACTTCTGGCTACCCAGCCCATCATGCCTACCGACGAGGCGCCCAACGAGGGCATGCTCTGGGGTGGACGCATCACTGTTCCCAGCACATACAACAAGGACCTACAGGAGAGCTGGGAGCCTATGCTAGATCATGTCAAGACTATCTCTCATAGTGTGCAGATCACAAACGGCATCCTTGCCACACTCAATATCCGGCCAGAACGGATGTTGGCTGCACCGAATCCCTCTATGGTCGCTACAGATCTGGCTGAAAGACTCACGGCACTCGGTGTACCCTTCCGTGAGTACCCTTCCGTGAGACGCATCACATCTCTGGGCGGTGTGTAGCCAGGAGTAAGGAGCTGGGTATCCCGATGAACTAGTTTACACTTGAGCAACTGAAGGCTATTGATAGTCGATTCCCGGATGATATTATGGGTGTATTCAGATTCGAGACAAGCGTTGAAGCGAAGTCGGCTAAAGGTGGCACTAGTCGATCAAGTATTCTCGAGCAGACCAAGGTTCTTGAGGCTGTGTTAGGTTAATTCCTTAGCATTGCAACTGATGAAATATGCACTGAAGGCAGTACATCCAACTCTTGTTCCGGAGTCTCTAGACAAAGATGCTTTAGTTCGAGGAATATATTCTAGGGAGACATTTAAATCTTAGCAACAGTAGCCTATTTCTCATGAAGTCATTATAAAGGTTAACACAGTGTAAGGCGAGAAGGGTAAAGCAAGTGTAAGGAAGTATCATTCATCCGCCGTGGCCTTATGATATTCGAGGGTCGCCCAGTTCTCGTAGAAGACTGCCCATCTGCCCATGTGGGTGCCAAAGAAGCTACAGGAGGGGCTAATAGATCTTGGCCCCTTCTACTGGCTACTAATCAACCATGCATGACAGACGTAAGTGCTTCATGGATACTCGTTGTTGGGGGTAATGGCACCTGTGGCTGACCCCCCATGTGCTGATAGTTTCTAACATAAGTTGATATCACAGGTACTGGAGCGCCAAGCCATATCAATGAAAATGCATCTTGTCTACTCTAGCTCATGCGAAAACCCGTGAACGTGCCATCAACCCGTAGCTCTCTTCGCCGCCCATGAAAGTCAAAGGTCTTCCATGTAATACCCGTGACAAACTTTTCTCTCCGTAGATCAGGCTCAGCACAAACGATCGATTACTGTGGCTACTCTTGAGCAGCCCCTGCTGAGGCCTCGTACGATGTAATTACCTGTTCCGTCACCGCTCTCGACGGCAATGATCGCTGCATCTGATGCGACACGTTTGGAATCAGACCCGGGGAGCTGTTCCAAAACGATGCCAAACCGTGCCCTTCCCTCCCCGTTCCATGTCAGTCTTCATCCTCTTCGTCGCCCTGGTAGCGGTGATCTTGATGTTTGGCAGACTTGGAGCTCTCAAGGAAACCCTCGGTAAGGAGCTGGCGTGAGGAGGAGTCATCGGGAAGCGGACGTGAGCGCTGTGATCTTGCGTGGCCAGTAGTATGACCGCCATCCCTAGTGTTGACCGAGCCGGTGCTTGGCCGGATGCCACGGCCCATACTGCGAGGACCTCTAAGGAACGGATGGTTGGAGTTGAACGACCCTGAATTCGACATATCAGTTTGAATTGCCAAGCAAGAACGCAAACCATAACCAGGAATGAGAGTTCAGTAGCGGTGTGGAACTTACCAGACTTCCTCAGATACTCCCGCACATACAAGGTTGCGTTAGGTGATACTCGTTGAGTTTCGATGTTCTGGAAATAATGTTCGACTATGGTGAATGTTAGCAGTGTGAAGACAAGATGTACCGTACTAATACAGCACACGCTATTGTGTAAACAGTAGGTAATAGTTGGAAACGGTGATGTAGAGAAATAGACGGTGAACTTGTTCTGGCTGTGATTGGTAGAGATTGCCAAGTGCTACTGAATACATGGCCCTGAAAGAGCGATTGGCGTGACGAAGATGTCATTGGTGTTGAAGTAAAGCCGTCGATGAGAGAGAGAGGAAGGTGACAAAGAGGTTGTGGGGCACCGGGTGCATCTTTTTCCAGTAATCGTTTTATGGAGTTCCAAAGAGGAATATGGTGGAGTTATCGAGACACGAGGCACCAGCCGTGCAACTGCAGGTGACGGTCCAACTGTGGTGCAATTGGGGGGTAAGGTAGGTGGAACGCTCAGTGAGGCCATTTGTCAAGGTGTGTGGTAACCCTGACACGGTGTAATGGTCCGAGAAAGGAGCTTTCCCACTCGTACGTTTGCGTAGAACTCCAGGTAAGATATCATGTGTAGGAAATGCTTGAGCCGGATGACCTGGCTCGATGCCAGATATTGACAAGATTCGAGCTCCTGGATGACTGTGAAAGTGGTGATCATCCTACAGGGCTGGAGTTTGCACGTGTGTGTGTGTGTGTGATATGGAGGAAGAAGGGCGGGGAGGGAACGGTTATTATTTTGACCTACACAGCATTGTACCAGTATACTGGCGACGAGCATACTCCCCCAATTCTCTTTGCATGATGGGAGCTAGCTCAGACCAAGCCTTTTCGGTCTTTGCACGATCCGCCCCGACGCGCTTTGGCGAACGGGGCATTGCCTTTCGCCAGAAGTATCTTTCCTCCCGATCTGACCAAACGCGGCCACCCATCTTGAAGGGCTTCTGATGCTCTGATATGGTGATAGAAACAGGATGAGATCAGCAGTGGTGTCGTCTTCTCTGCCGCCGCCAATGGAGACAGAGAACTTCGTCGACCAAGGAGCAAGAGCAGTTTAGAGTACTGGTGCTGCGTCAGCGTTCAGGAAGCAGACAACATCGATGGTCTTAAGAAGAGCGGGTTCTGTGCGTATCGGGGATTGGGGAAAATGGCCCAAGAGGCGTCGATATCTTCCACTCGCAGGAATCGGCAGACGAAGTACTGGAAAGAAAAAACTGCGATGTGTTGATGGAAGGTGACAATCCTATGTTTGACCCGGAGAGAGGAGTCAGTCACCGTAAGTTCTCGGATACAAGATTCACGTAAATAGCACTGTAAGTGAATGTATCGTGACTGATAGAACAGTCCAGGCGATGAAGCTCCGGTCTGCCTGCTTATCTGGTCCGCAGATATCAGATGAAGCGTCATCTACCTGGGAAAATGAACGTACACCCCCCTTCCCTCCCCGTCTGACCAACCAACTGGTGCGGAGGAAAACAAATTGATGCAGAAGACTGAGACAATAGTGGCACTGTTTCCCAATGGATGAGTTACTGTATACTACGCTGACGTGGCTAGGCCAAGATAATTGCAAGCAGCATGCCGCGAAGACGTGCATAGGGTAATTCAAGTCGTTTCCCAAATTCCAATAGTTATATTCTTTCATTGTCCAAATGTGATTATTGGCACAGCCACAAGCGGCACATAGTCTACAATGGATTCAAGCACGCACGCAGAGGGTTGTTACCACTAATTGCTATAGCTACTCAAACGGGCTGGCAGGTTCAGGTGCCTTGACGCCGCGTGCAACGAGAAACGACGCCAGGCGGTACTCGAATCTTGCAAACTGGCACAAGGTTAGTACTGCGAAAGATGAAGCAGAGGGAATGAGGATGACCGTACGATACTCTTCTCGGCCGGCGGCGCAACGCCGTTCCTGATCCAGATCCCCCAGCTTCCCATGGTATTGGCAAGCATCATGTCGGTCATCAGACGATCTCCAACGACAGCGACTTGACTAGGATGAGTCACGCCGACCTCGGGGTGCTTCTGGAAGTGCTGCATGATCTCATCTGCGCAGCCCGGCTTCTTAACGCGGTGAGCTAGTACCTTCACTCCAGTGGCGGACTCCAGATCGCTTGCCAGTCTGCCATCTCCATCGTAGCTGATGGCGCCCGCCGTGTTAGAGACTATCAGTAGACTGTGGCCAGGGAACTCCTTCCGCAGCTGCCGGAAGCGCTCCTGAGTATGCAAGGTTAACGTCTAGACCCCAGGACGGAACGCGGAGGTATTGGCTGGATGGCGTATGCCAGGCCAGGAGGAGGCAACTCACAACATACGGCGGGTGGATTAAACTGGTCTCTGGGTAGGCAAAACAGTCGTCCTTGTCAAGTATGACCGCTTTGATGTGCCCCTTCTTCCCTTGGGCCTCGAAGGCTCTCTCCAGGGGGTAGGGCAGGTCGCTGAACTGGGCGACGGTGGAGTGGGGCAGACACAGCGATGGCTTGGCCACAAGTTTGAAGACGCCGAAGAAGCCTGAGAGGTTGAGGTTCATCGTCCTGGGCAACAGAGCAGCGCCTCGTCGGGCTGCCGCTGCACGAGATTCGCTGGCTGCCAACACGTGTAAGTTGGTGATCCCTGAACGGCACCCAGTCGTCGCCTCAGCTATGTAAGCATGGAAAGCCACAGATGCGCCCCACTTTTGGATTTTCGGCTGGCAAGGATCCAAGGCGCGTCGATGGGCACGGGCAGCTTACTGCTAACTAACTAGGTAACTGCCCCAACGTGGGTACCGTAGTCACTAACTTGTACACGTAGTGACCACCTGCACCTGGTTCCAGGCTACTGGGGTACTCACACAGATAGCTACGAACCTGAGAAGGAGCCCGGAAAGACGCGCCTTAACCTCGCGATCCACAACCCCCAGTTCTTGGTTCCCCCTGGCCTGCATCATCTAACTTGGGCCTCTCTCTCGCAGACCCGGACCCGATGTCAACCATCCACAGTTGCTGCGGGCTTCGTTGCAACACTGTGTCCTATCTCCACTGATTGCTCCCTGGGCAAAACCCCCCGAGGCTTTCTTTCTCTTGGATATGAGCGTGCTGACGGCCGCCGAAATCGCTTACTAGCTGGCGCGCATGGCGCCGAGGAAACAAGAGTCGGCGCCTCCAGAGGCTGCTACCAGATTGTCCACGCGCACGAAGACGTCTCGAGAGCCCCAAGGCGTGGCCGGGAGTGGGAATGTGCGGGCGCGTGGTGCCAACTCGGCCTACGAACCGCCCAAGAGGAAACGAGGCAGGCCGAGCAATGCTTCCCGGCGTCAAGAGGCTGCCGCACAGGAAGGAGACGCCGTCTATGACTTTCCTTCGTCAGGGGACGAAGAGGGTGACCGTGGCGCGTCTATGGCGGACGTGCCCATCAAGACAGCAAACCGGAGGACGGGGCGGGCCCCCACCGCGGCGCACAGTTCTGCCGCTGCAGCGTCCGCAGTAACGGACCACACGTCGGCGACGCCCAAGAAGAGGAAAGCGAATGGTCCAAATGTCACAGAGACTCCGTCATCCGTGTCACGCTTCAAGGACCACGCAGCCGGGGAAACCCCCAGATGGCGCCGGAATGACCGCTCGGCCCGCAAGAAGAGTGCACGCGCGCTTATTGAAAGTGTTGTCGCCGGCAACGCGAGTGACGAGGAGGACGACCAGGGCATTGCCAGGGAGATATACGAGTCAAGCGGAGACAGCGACAGTGAGGACCTGGACGAAGACGAACAGGTGCGAGATGCCAATGGGCTGGAAAGCCTTGCGGCAACGCCATCAAAGAAGCCTCGGGGACGGAGAAAGGGTTCCACGACACGGGCACGGAAAAAGTCCCCGACACCACCCCGGGATCTTCCTCCACATGAGTTGTACTTTGCCCAGAACCGGCCGGGGGCATCCAAGACGTCGGGCAACAGTCTAGCCTCTCTCGAACTACTGACGCACGACGAGTATTTCTCTATAGTCAATGCTTTTGAGGACCCGCATCGAGACGATGTCAACTTCCTGCAAGAATGGCACACCGAGTCATTCCCTCAGTGGTCGTTTGAGCTGGCCCAGGGTTTCAGCATTTGCCTGTACGGCTATGGATCCAAACGGTCTCTTCTACACAACTTCGCCAAACACCTGTACGCCGCGGTACCCGACCATGTACGGAGCAAGACCGTTATCATCAACGGCTACGTGCGTAACACCTCTATCCGCGACATTTTGGGAACAGTGGGTAGTGCTGTCAACCCGTCTTACAAGTTGCCCGCAGGCAATCCTTCCGCGATGCTGGATGATGTCAAGTCATTCCTCTCATCACACGATGTCAGCATCACATTGGTCCTCAACTCGATTGATGCCACCCCGCTACGAAAGCCGGGCATGCAAGCCATTCTGGCTCAGCTGGCATCCCATCCAAGCATACACCTGATTTGTTCCGCCGACACCCCCGACTTCTCGTTGCTCTGGGACACCGGGCTTCGGTCGGCGTTCAACTTTGTCTTTCATGACTGCACTACGTTCGGCCCCTTCACCGTAGAAGTCGACGTGGTAGATGAAGTCCACGAATTGCTTGGTCGCAAGGCAAGGCGCGTAGGGGGCAAGGAAGGCGTGACATATGTGCTGCGCAGTCTACCGGAAAATGCGAAGAACCTGTTCCGCCTACTTGTAACCGAGGTCCTCGTGGCTATGGACGAAGTGGGCATTTCGTCGGGGGAGAATCCCGGCGTCGAGTACCGAATGCTTTACGGGAAGGCCGTCGAAGAATTCATCTGCAGCTCAGAAGTTGCTTTCCGTACACTGCTGAAAGAGTGAGCCTTGAATCACCAGTCTATCGCGGTCCATTGCTAACACAAAGTCACAGATTCCATGACCATCAGATGATAACCAGCCGCAAAGATGTTCTCGGCACGGAGCTATTGAGCGTGCCATTTCGAAAGGAGGAACTAGAAACCGTTCTGGAGGACCTGATGTCTTGACCGTCAATCGCGGATGAGCGATTTCGGCCCGTGAGCAGCGATTTACTTTCGAGATCCTTGACAAAGACTCAAGATACCCCCCCATATCATAACAGGCGCAAACGATTATGTCACTGCTTCTGCAGATCAATCAACATCCTTCATCAACTCGCTGTTCTTATCCAAGCCGCTCCACTTGGGCTTTCCGTCGGGGAGATCAAGTACTCGTCGAGAATAGAAGATGTGCATGCTTGCAGGGAATTTGGTTAGCACAGCGTGGCTCAAAATTTGCGGTGTTTGTGTGCGAGTTTGTGGTGTTTGTGACTTACGTCGGCTCGAATGACTTCTTGGCTGCATCATCCTTGAATTTGATGATTGCCGGAAACATCAACACCATGTTGCGCCCCTCGTCCATGATGGGCGCATGGCAATAGGCACAGCTGACTTTACAGGGCAGGTCATGGTATGTGTGTTTCTTGGTTGAGTGGTAGAAAGCCAACCCCTTGGCGCCGTTCTCAAAGTGCAGGTCCTCCTTTTTAAAGATGGCAGCCCATTGAAGAGGTGCACCTGTTAGTTGAGATGTTAGGTGCCGGGGGGTCGTGGTTATAACAAACGCATCATTCCACTGACCGTGTAGACTCTGACAGTCCTTGCAGTGGCAGTACTTGCTGGCCAGAGGCTTGTCTCGGCTGAGCCAGTACTTGATTCTCCCGCAGTGGCATTGTGCCGTGTGCTTCTTCTCGAACGTCTCGTTCTCGCCTTGGGTGCGGTACGGCGGCTGGTCACGCCACTCCCCGCCCTCCTTGGACTTTTCTTTTTCTTCATCCTCGTGCGTGGTGGTGGTGTCGTGCTTGCCGCAGCTCTCATGGTCTGTGCCTTGGGGATAGGGATCTCTGTCCACCTCGGTCGCGTCCGGGGTCATCTCATGAGGCTCTTGCCTGAGATGCTCGGTTGCATTGGCGGACAACTTCTGCTTCTTGGCGGGCGAGGGCGGCATCGTGGGAGGTTGTTTGGCACGTGGTGGGGTCCTGCTGAAAGAGCGAGCCTGATGGTAAGATCCAGGTTGCTGACGAGAGGCAGTTGAGGTAGGATTGTAAGAGGCGAATATCAAAGGTGTGAGTTGCACGTCGTGTAGACAGGAGTAGTGACGTCTTACACTGCGGCTGAGTATTCCAGATGCGACAAGATACCCACGGTACATGATCTTGGAAATAATAAATCGATATGAACTCGGCTCGTCGGTGCCGTTTCTTTTGTTCTCCCCTGTCCTCTAATTTCTGCGCAAGAAGGAAACTTATGGGATACCAGTGTGAACCAAGCGCCTGGCGGGCAACCGCCATGTGCCAAGGTACTGTGTAAGGATGCATCCCGCCCGTATCCAATGTTTGTAAGTGTCATGCAATTAGCGTTGGTCCCAGCCCAGGGCCATGGGTTGGAACGTAAACCTCCGCTAACTTTGGCAAATGAATTTCCACAGGAAGGCCTACGTGTGTGACATGACGTGCTACACCTGGACGAAGCATTGCGCCTCGCAGAATGGGGAAGCGAGCAGTGGTTGCAGGCGCGCTTGCGCCCATGGTTGTTTTCGCTGCCAGTTATATCATCTCAGGACCTGAGCTCCGGGAGCCGCTGATCATCTTCGTCCCACACGCGCCATCTCGGCCTTCCGTTTGACTGGACGTCCAGAGTACCTTTGTGTACCATTGGCTTGTCTGGCGGAAGCCATGGCTCACCTATACACGGGCGGCCGTTGGCTCGACTTGCAGCAGTACCTCTTTGATTTCCTATGCGCAGCGGTGGTCGCCTTACAACGCTCGAAATCTCTCCCCACTTTGATCGACCAACGCTATTTCATTTCATTTATTTCACCATCTTCATTTCGCACGGGGAGACTGTGCTCTGTCAACGTATAGTCAGCAACATAACAAGGGCGGGCAAGAGGAAACCTGGAAGCAATTCTCCATCAAGTGACGGGAACTACAGTAGGTATTATGGTACACCGGACAATAGGAATGCGCAGCTGCTGCCAGCTAGTCTACAGCTGGCACGACGTGGATTGGCTGGCTGCTTGTGGGGGCTCTTCAGGCCTCTGTCTCTCTCTCTCTCTTTTTCGTCAGGGCCAAGCGCAGCCAAAAGCCATTGGATGCAACCAGGAATGGCTTGGACTGGATCTCGGTTGCAGATCGCCGCGCGCCCCCCATCAAGTCTTGCGATTTCACACTCTTCCTGTCCAAACCCTGCCTCGCCTTCCAAGATGTCAATGTGAACCATGAAAGCCAGGCGAGATGATACCGACATCTCGATCCCCAGTCCATATGCAGGCGTCGGACCTGTGATACCGGCAGGGTCCGACATCGTCTTCCCAGAGAAACAGCCGCGGAACAATGCGGCCACGGCTGCCTCAGCCGCCGGTGTTCGTGCCTTGAGCGCCCAAGCCATCGCCTTCTACTTCCGCGCCCCCGTCAAGGCCTTCTTCCGCACCAGGGTCGACTATCTGGCGTATGCGCGCTCTGTCCACCAGGCCCAGACAGACCTGCTGCGGCAAGCTGCCGTCAACGACAAGTCCCTGTCTCGCTTCGGTCTCGCCTTGCATCAGACATGGCTCTGGATGCGTGGCACGACCCCCGGCGTCCTGACCAGCGCCGTGAAGCACCAGGGGTGGGCCGTGATACCGCAGCAGGTACTGCCCCCTCTCATGGCAAACGTGAGCGTGGGCGCCGTCCTCTACACCAGCTATCTGCAGATCCTCGGACACCTGCACCCCGAGAGCGGCAAGGCGAGCAAGCGTGTCTACCCGCCACCTGACCCTAGGCACACGTTTGCCGCTGGGTTTCTGGCCGGCAGCCTCCAGAGCGTGGTGGCCGCCCCCTTGGACGCCATCCAGGCAAGGTTTGACCACAGGGACATGATGCCCGTAGACGGCGGAGGACGGCCCAAGAGCATGTGGGCCTTCAGCGCCGAGAAGCTGCGGGAGATTGGACTCCGAGGTATATTCGCCGGCTGGGGCCTGAGTTTCCTGAAGGACGGGTTTGGGAGCGCAGTCTTCTTCAGCGCCTTTGAGTACATCAAAGCGCAGGGCTACTACAGTTTCGTCACCTGGTACTACGGCGATCTGAGCGAGGATATTGTCAACCTGCTCGCCCGGAAACGGTCGTCTGCTCGCGAGAGGCCAGCCATGGCCGATGCGGGTGGTTCGGAAAAGAGCAAGGCGACCGTCATCAGGCCGCACTACGCCATAGAACCGGCCTTCCTGTTGCTGGCAGGAGTCGGCGCCTCCTTCGCGCAACAGGTGCTTCTCCACCCCCTCTCGCACGTCCAGGTTAAGCATTGGGACCACCTCGAAGATCTGGACGCCAAGGCTGCACGGTTGAGGGCATCCGCTGCGGCCAACCCGGACCAACCCCGCCGACGTTGGAGGATGCTAAGGGCTTACTATCGAGCGTACCAGGAAACATGGGCTCAATGTGCTGCTGAGGCCAAGGCCGAGGGTCTCGGACTCACGCGTTGGTTTTATCGAGGGTTCTGGTGGAATACGATCCGACAGGTACCGAGTACGAGTGCCGGGCTGATCATCTTTGAGCTCCTGAGGAGGAAGTATGGCCTTGGAGGCGACGAGGTCAGGATCACACGGGATGGATACGATATTCTGTTACATTAGACCATTGGGCACTGGCGTTTGGCGCTGACTGGATAGACGGCGATACTCTACTCGAACAGATCATGCCACCCAGCCGTAGAAAGACACTGGGGTAGACTCTGTACTTCAAGACATGCACTTTTCAAGCTACATTCACACGACTAGAACCAGTCGAGCCGCGAGCGGCGTCGGCCAGATCTGAAACTATGAGTGCGTGGTGCCTCTCGTCACCCGCCAATCATACAACGCGAGAAAGGGAAACATCATTAGCACCGACTCGGCCTGTAGGCAGCTGGACCTGAACAGCATTCAAGAAGAAATAGAGTACAAAGAAATACTGCATGCCGTTGAGCCGTTGAGATGTGGCAGACCGGCGCCGCTTCGAGTGCATGGCACCGGAGCCGCTGCGCAGGGAGAGGGGGGGGGGGGGGGGGGGGGGGGGGGGGGGGGCGCAAATCCCGGCCTGCGGGGACGGCCGGATGATGACGCACAATGGAAGGGCCTCCGGAAAGCCGAATTCAAACAAAGTCTGGTCCGACTTCTCCGTTCACACGTACAACCTCGCACGCGACACAACAGCGCCCGACATTGCGACAGCACAACCGGCGGCGAACGGTGCCGTCTACTGAAACAAACGCCGGGAACCCCACCGCAGGCGACTCGCCGAGCCCAGACGCCACTCGGGCGCGCATGCCCTGTGCCATGAAGTCCCACGACGCGCTGAACAGTGACGACGTCAAGGAGGCGCAACGGGAGGCGACCCGCGGTGCCGTGATGGGCGCCGTCAAATGGGGCATCGCGTCGGCGGCCCTCGGTGGCGTGGGCTACCATTTCTGGCCCGTCTACCGAGGCCTGACGGTGCAGTTCAAAGTGTAGGTGGACTGATGATCCCGGTCACGTGTGCTCTGACAGGCAGGGGCTAATCGGGGGCCGCCACAGCTATCTACAGATGTCGGGCATGATCCTGGGGAGCATGATCGAGGCCGACTCGAGGATGCGCCAGTACGAGACGCGAGTGCGGCTGCAGAGACGCATCGCCAGGGACCGCGCCATGTGGGAGACTTTTGAGAAGGAGTACGAGGAAGAGGGCGGCCCGGCTCCGCCCCCCAGGCCGAAGCATCTGAGACAAGAAGAGCACCAGTGATTGGGGGGGGGGGGTATATTGTCACGAGAGCCAGTATGCTGGAGGAATAGAACCGGACACTCCACAGCGAGTCCGCAAGGGGCCTTGCCGGCCGTGATGTACAATGTTGTAGGATATCTGCGTCAAAGTGGTTTTTAAATCATCCCGATCTCCCAAGCCAAGCCAAGCCAAGCCAGCCATTATACTCGTAAAACGCCATGCCAATGCAACCCATGATTCCTTCCCTGCTTGTGAACAACTGCGACCCCGGGATCGAGGCTTGGGCTTCTGCTACTACAACTGCTACTGCTACTTCTACTTTGCCGCGGCCACGAACCGCTTCGGATCCATATTGAGCTTGCACAAGCGGGCGACGCAGCCGCTCAGCTGCAGCAACGTCTGCACGCCCTCAAGGATCTTCATGTGGGTGAATCCAATCTCCTTGATGAACTCGAGCTTGCTGTGTTCGCTCAGGGTCGGGATTGTCTTGGTGACCTTGAACATGGTGCTGATGATGTCGTGGCTGCTGTAGCCCAGATCCCAGAGCTCGCGGAGGGAGTCGAGGGCGCTCTCGACGTTGCCCTCGTAGCAGGCCTTGAGCATGGCCTGGACCTTGATGGGGTGCGGCGAGTCGACGACCTTGAAGACATTGTCGCCGTTGACGAAGCCGAAGCCGGCGTACGTCGACTGCAGGTTGTTGATGGCCTGGCGCATGTCGCCCTCGGCGCTGAAGACCAAGGCGGCCAGCCCGTCGTCGCTGTACTCGACCTTCTCGGCCTCGATGATCTGGAACAGGCGCTTGACGACCTGGGCGTCGGTCAGGCGGGCGTAGCGGAGGATGGCGCATCGCGACTGCAGCGGCTCGATGATCTTGTTGCTCTGGTTGCAGGCAAAGGCGAAGCGGGTCGTGTTGGAGTAGATCTCCATGGTCCTCCGCAGAGCCTGCTGAGCGCCGCTGGTCATGCTGTCGGCCTCGTCCAGGATGACGACCTTGTGTCTGCCGGCGGGCAGTGTGACCTTCTTCTGGGCAAAGCCCTTGATCCTGTTCCGGACGACGTCGATGCCGCGCTCGTCCGAGGCGTTCAGCTCGAGGACGGCCTCCTTGTACGAGTCGCCCAGCAGCTGGCGGGCCAGGCACAGCACGCTGGTGGTCTTCCCGATGCCGGGCATGCCCGAGATGATGACGTGGGGCATGTTACCGTCCTTTGCGATGATCTTCAGGCGCTCGATGGTCTCGGTGTTTCCGACAATGTCGTCGAGGAAGACGGGTCTGTACTTCTCGACCCTGTGCAGCGGCATGCCCAGTCAGCAAGGAGTTCCCACGCTCGTCCGCTCGTCCGCTCGTCCGCTCGGCCCGCGACGGCGCCACCGCAGGGGACAGCAAGAGGACGACGTCAAGAAGAGACCTACCAGGGCAGTTCAAAGGTGGGCGGTCCATGGGGGGCAGAGGTCAGCGCCTTCTTGGCGGCCGACGTCGAGGACTCGCCGGTCTCTTCCTTTGCGGCTCGAGGCATGGCGTTCGACTGGCTACTTGACTTTGAGTCTGGTTGGCCGTCTCCAGGAAGAACGCAATATATCTTGGTGGCGTGGCGTGGCAGGCATACAGCACGCAGTACCGTGACCTACCTCTGTGGGCGGAATAGAATAAATCAATTAACGCGGTCGGTCGGGGCGGCGCGTCAGGCAGGGCGCGTCAAAGCTTCCTGGTTGCTGGTAACTAGTTACGTCGGGTCCACCCCAACGCAAGTTCGGTTAGACTCGTTCTATACACCCCAGGGGCTGCCGCGGCGGCGGGGCAACCCCCTGCAATCCCTAGCAAGCCCCCCCTCGGCATCCTGGACACTATCTACATGTCATGTCGTTAGGTCCTGTACAGTCATGGGACTGCAAAAGCGACATCCCGGCTCGGGTACTTCGTAGGCTGCCTCAAGTTGAGCGCTGGGTTGTATATGGGATCTATGTACCCAGGTTTACCAGGGCGAGGTATTGCACAACTGCAAAGCCTCCTGGCTAGATCCACCATGCCCTGGAGGTCCCGAGACATGGAAGACGAGCCTGTGTCGAAGCCCGTTGCTCAGAGGGTCCTGCCAATAGGCGCCAGATGAATCATGGCCGGCGACAAATTACAGCCCGAATACTATCCAGAAACCCCTGCGTGGGGTTCTCCCAAAATGTACACAAAACGGTTGAACATGGTGCATCGAAAGAAAGTAATGCTGGTCATCTAAAAGGCCCCTTTCGCTTCTGCGCCTAGCCAAGAGCATGACGACCCAGTGCCGGGCATCTTCTCGCCATACATGGTGTATTCTTCCCGAGGCCTTGTACACTATCAGCTCCTGCGAAGGATCCCACCATCTCAGGTTCGGTAGTCCCCATTAATGGTGATGTACTCGTGGGAGTAGTCACAGGTCCAGTAGGTCGCTTCCTCCTTACCAGTGCCTAGGCGTACGAGGATTTCAAGATCCTCATGCTCCAGGATCTGAGCAGCTCTCTCCTCATCAACGACTTCCGGCTCGCCATTGACCAACAATCTCAGCTCGGCACTTCCATCAGAGGGGATGAAGGAGACATTGGTCTTCTCGGGGGTGATCTCCGCAACTTCATTCACCGAGGCGCCCGGCTCGGTGACGAGAGCATACCCAGTAGCACACAGAATTCGTCCCCAGTTTGCGTCCTTGCCATACAGCGCCGTCTTGACCAGAGGTGACCTGGCAATGGTGCTGGCGATCTTCCGCGCGCCTTCCTCGCTCCAAGACTCAGTGACCCTGATGGTGACGAATTTGGTCGCGCCCTCTCCGTCACGGACAATGAGCTTGGCGAGGTCGGTGGAGAAAGACGCCAGGACCTCCTGGAATGCCTCGTAGTCTTGCGATCTTTCCGACACAATCGCCTGGCCACCAGCAGCACCGTTGGCCAGCAAGGCCACAGTATCGTTGGTCGACGTATCTCCGTCAATGGTGATGCTGTTGAATGACTTGTCAACAGCGCCCTTGAGGAGGCCGGGTAGAAGTTCAGGCGAGATTGGCGCGTCAGTAGCAACCACTCCCAGCAAGGTTGCCATGTTCGGGTGGATCATGCCGGCACCTTTCGTCATGCCCGCTATCCGATACTCGACTGAAGGCGACGAAGGTAGGCTGAAGGACTTGGAGATCAACTTGGGGAACGTGTCAGTCGTGCAGATTGCTGTGGCACACGTCAACCAGTGGTCATGAGAAGCTCCTAGCTTTCCAAACGCTGTAGGAACGTTGTCCAGAATCTTCTTGATTGGCAGCCTGGAGGAAATCAGCCATGAAAGTCAGACAGATGATCATCGGCTTCTACCTTTGCCCAATGACACCGGTGCTCATGACGATGGTTGCCTTCTCAGCGCCCAGTGCCTTGTCGGCCTCCGTGGCCATGGCCTCGGCATCCTCGAGCCCACCCTTGCCGGTCACGGCATTGGCGCAGCCCGAGTTGATGAGCACGCCTTGCAAACCCGAGTTCTTCTTCTGTTGTAGGAGGGACCGGCTAAAAGTGACGGGCGCGGCCTGGAACTTGTTCTTCGTGAAAACAGCCGCAGCTGCACATGGCCTGTCTGAAGTGATGAAGGCTAGATCTGGCTTGGTCGTGTTGCTAGGCTTGACTCCGACAACGGTGCCAGAGACCTTGAAGCCCTGGGGATAAGTGCCACTGGTGGGCACGTATTTCTTCTTTGCGGCTGGAATCGCTGCGCTAGAGGGTGCAGCGTACATCCTCCGACCCAATTGGCCCGGGAAATGATTGAGAAGCCTCATCTTGCGCGTGTGGCCTGATGATGTCCTCGAGAATCAACGTGAGTCAAAAGCTCCAAACCTGGGAGGCCTGAGAAATTTAAGTCCACCTTGTTCTGCCCGGGCCCTGGTCAGCGGTAGCGGTAGCGGTAGCGGTAGCGGTGAAAAGTGGGGCCTGTCCTAGTTGTTGCAGGTCAAAAGATCAAACGTCCCTATCTGATGCGTGCATCTGGTCTTAGATTATAGTTACCTCATCGGGGGGGGGGGGGGGGGGGTGGGAGGAGGATGGAATTGAGATCAATCGCGTTCCCAAATTGCTTTCTCACAGTATGGGGCCATCAGAGGTCGGAGTTTGGTACTGCTGTATGGACCTGGGGACACGCTTGGTGCACCATCACATAAGGACGTGGAGAGACGTACGACCAAGACTTGTGTGGATCTACCATGGCTCGTGCCAACCATGTATTCAACCAAATCGAAGACCGCTTGCTTAGGAATGATTTTGTTTAGTTAATTTACTTGTTCTGCTCCAAAGTTTCGTCACCCTACTCCTGACGCCGTACAGACATTCCAGGCTTACCCCAAAAATGTTGTACCGTCTACACGGTAGTGGACCAAGACCGATCTAGATGCTAGTTGGACTATTAAGAAGCGACTCAATGTGATCGGCTTGATTCCCTCCCATCAATTGAGACGGTTTGGGCCTTTCATCCGGCACGATATACCAGTATTGAGACTGTCTTGATATCACCTACTAATGTGACTATCATGTATTGAAGGTGTATTTTACTTCCACTTCTGCACATGCCTGCCTACAAAACAGGCCGGCCGCTGTGATAATGCATACTCGCAAGTACCGATTGTGCACAAATCCATGCTCAATACTTTGTGTATTCTACCCGAAACCCAACCCGAAGCGCCGCGCTATACACCGCGAGAAACTATTAGTAACCCATGTTTCTTCCATGCCCTAGGAGAATCGCTTTGGCGACGGCGGACCTGGAAACTTGATGCTGATCTCCTTCGTCTCCACTGGGCTGCCTGTATTGTTGACTTTCTTTCCTTTACCACCGCCCAGGGCACCAGCGACACTGATAGACGGCCGGCTTGAGACCCTGGGAGGCAGAGGCTTATCCCATACGGGCTGGTTCTGGTCCCAAGCCCGGCTGATTAGTGGGCTAGCCGTCGAGGCAGACGTTGGGCTCGTATACACTGCTTCAGGCACCGTTCCCATCTGCGGTGCCGAGATCCCATATTCAGAGGGATTGTATGGTTTCAAGGGTAACAAGTTGCTGGTGCTCTTTGTGCTGGTGGTGCTCGCTGGTGTAGTCATGTCGTCGATTGGCGAGAACCCTTTGGCTTTTGGTGATGTGGAGTAATAAACACCGTTTGGCACCGTCGGGGTCGCAGTCGAGATGCTGTGCAGTGGGAGGCTGGGGCCGTGAACTCCACGAGAACCACGATCGGACATGAACCCTGGTCGTGATGACCATGGAGACTGATGCGAGGTGGGAGAATCAGCGAAGACAGGGTTAGAGCCCAAGCCCCCCTGAGGACCAGTGTAAGGCTTCTCTTCCCGGATTGTCGACTCAGACAGGCCGGGGAAGAAAGCTGGCGACCGAGGCGAGAGGTGGGTTTGACAGCGAAAAGACAGTGAGGATGCTGGACGGTGAATGCTGCGCTTCGGAATATTTTGTCCAGGTGAGCCATTGAGGCGAAGGCGTCGGTTGCGTCGCTTTCGGTAACAGATGTAAACAATTCCAGCAATGACCAAAGCCACAACAATGGCCCCAATAGCAACACCAACAACAGTAGTTGTTGGTAGCCGCCCTTCGTTGCTGGATGTCGCTGCCGAGGCTGATGGGTCTACAGCACTTATCATTGCTGTCGAGAATACAGTATCGTTCAGACCGACCAGGGTGCCGGTGGGAGGTCTTTGCTGGCATCCGGCACCAAGAGCCACCATAAAGTTGGCCATATAGTCTTGGCCATCAGATGCAGCAACACATGCAATGCACTTCGAGACCGACGGACCACCCATTGCAGCACCATCGGCATCGCAGTACCCATACGACTGCAAGTCGGTTGCATCGAGGCCATCGCTGGTCAGGGCTGCCTCAAGTCCTCCGCACGCCGTTGACGTAGAGCACGGTGTGGACGCCACATTTGTGGCGTTGGGAAATCCGAAGATGCAATAATCAAATGTGTATCTGAGGTTATCTATAACCTGTCAGTTCTGCTCTTTGTCATGGATGGGACAGAAAGTCGTACACAGAAACCAAGCCTGGTCACTTTGTTGGCCTTGAGAAAAGGTGCTATCTTGCAAGCAGCTCATGCACCTGTGGAACTTTTGGCCGGCGGATGACGATGCAAACTCCTTATCATAGCACGTAATGTCTTTGTTTCCCGTGTTTGATGAGTTCGGGTCGGAGAAGTCTAGGTCGTTGGAATCTACACAGAATGACGAACAAGGGGAATTTGGTGTGACTTGGAGGGCCATGCCACACTGCGCGAGCATGGCGAGGGCAACCAGGATGCACGGTAAGCCCATCTCGCCGGGAGATCTGGGGTTGTAGGATTGGCCTGGTTCTGGTTGTCCGGGTCGAAAAGAGCGTAGACGGGGGTATCAGGAAAGGAATAGTAATTAGAATATCATAATAGTGCACACGAAGTACCAGCCAGCTGGGAGTGCTATGCCTCAAACATTCCGAACAACGTGTGAAGAGAGAGGAGAAAGACACCAAAGTTAGAACAGACACAGTCTATCGAAGGATTCGAGTTGTGTCAGCCCACTGGGCGCACCGCAGTATATAGTGATGAGAGCAGTCTTGCAGCACCTGATATGGAGCCATAGAATGTGCCAACGACAATCAACGCGGTGCCTGCATGGCACACTGCTCCAACATCTGCACGGCTGACGGTATAGCACCAACTGCACGGTGGGTCACATTGAGCTTGGAATATCCTGCCGCCCAGACTATCGATCGAATTCCTCGTTAGACCCTACGCTTTGGGCCGGGGGCCCGGCCATCATGACAGAAACAGACAGGTGGGCCGGCAGATAACCTCCCAACATGGTAGTAGCGTGGTCGGGATGACATGAAAGTGCACAACATAGCGACCAACCAGGGGATTCTGCAGATGGCTCGCATGCTTGGAAGCGCCGTGATGGCATTGCTACCAATCGTTTATGGGCCTCTCTGTAGGCGGCCGGCGGCTGGGACCTGAAGCTAAACCCAAATAGTGACGCAGAGAATCGGTACAACAGAGAGTATGTAAAGATGCGGTTTGCTGAGGCCTCGAATATAGACAGACCTCGGTACAAGAATTCGCACATGCCTCGACATTCCAGAGGGAAGCAGAAGGGAAAATGACCGTGAGGTGACAGCCACAAGCATGCCTTGAGCGGACATCTTCCAATGAAGGACACAGCAGTGCGTGCGCAAAACACCTAGAAACTAATTCTCTGAGGGAATCTAGAGCGGGCGGACGGGCTACCAGCATGCGAAGGGCCCTGCCGACAGTGTCTGGCAATTCGTGCTTTCGGCAAGGGCTGAGATTGGATGGAAAGGTCGCTTAAACTGGGTAGCATTCTCCTTTCTGCTGGATCCAAAAGGCTATTGGGGTTTTTAGCACGCTGCAGGAGTTTGTTTGCTGAGGCTGCAGCTGGGTGTGATGGGATGCGCAGGGTGCAGAAAAGACTCGGCGCGTATTTATAGAACCACTGAGAAAGCTTCTGTGTCCCACCGCATAACCCCTGTCGATAAAGCCAAGACTCCCCGCGGTTATGCACGTACATTGTGTGATTAACAGAGACAATTTGGGACATAACAGCAGCCACTGCTTCTTGGATGCGCAGAGCACACCAGCCATCCCTTTGCGGATGCTGTACACACTCGCGGTAAAAGATGGTTAAGCCTGACTGCCTGGCAACAAGACTGGTGCACAAGTCGGCAATACATACTACAAGGGCCCTGGCGGGATTTGTGTGCGCAGGTCAGGATTCATCCGGGCTCAGAAGTTAATACTTGGTTGTCCATTATTCTCTATCTTCTACAGTAGGTTATAAAACTAATTCTATTACTTTACTCTCTGAGCTTAAGGAAATGGCCTCATCGCCAGCTAAGCACTGCGGCGCTTGCGGTGCCTACCCATGCCTCCGCCTGAGGCGAGGACAGATCGACCCAAATAGCCATCGCGAACTTTTGCGTGCAAGCCCCAATGATTACCAGCAAGTATGCAAGTGCATCGCCATGGGTGTAGATTGCCAGTGACTATGCAAGACATGTGATGCCCCAACGCCGCCCAATGCTGTCGTTATTAGTCATGACCGGCATGTTTGAATTCACATGCCTATCCCATCAACGCCATCCAGAACAACCTTCTGGCCTTGAATGCCGATTTTGTTTTCGAACAAACAGCGGCCCTCGGCGCAATCGGCATGGAAGACGATACCACTCCCATCAACGACTGGTGTTGCGCCTCCCGGTGCCGTCAACCCGAACGCGTCGTCAGTCGTCACTAATGGGGTCGAGCTCTTGCTGTACGGTCCTCGCACACTCTTGGCAAGTGCATAGTTTACGTTATACGTCGGCTCAGTGAAGCATCCAGAACTGAAGAAGAGGACGTACATCCCGTCCGGGTTCCGGAGGATCGTAGGTGCTTCTACCAGCGGACCGTCTGCATCCGAGCGATCCAGGATTTGGATTGGACTACCGACTTTGGTAACGCCATCCTCCTTGACCTCCTGGAGCAAAATTGGGGTGGCAATGAAAGGTGCTACTCCGTTGTTGCAGGACCCACCATGTCCAATGCTGTTCCCATCAATCTTGTACACGACGTAACGTTTCCCATCTTCATCCTGGAAGCCGGAAGGATCAATGGAGCCGCCAATGCTCAGGTTACAGTCGAATGGCTCATCAGAGGGTGTGTAAGGGCCCAGCATCGCCCTCGAGGTGGCCGTACCAACACAATGGTGCGCCGTGTTGCTTTTCACCTCACCAGAGTAGTACATGACATAAGAACCGTCAGACAAGAGCCGCACGTCAGGCGCCCATGTATTCTTACTCGTCGTCCACGATCCAGCGTTGGGCAACAGGTCGTTGTCGAGATATTCCCAGGGCCCCCTTGGGTTCGACGCCTTGGCGACCTGTACTTGCTTGCCATTGCCGGCCGTGGCAAAGGAGTACCACATCCCGTCCGAATCCTGCATAATCGAAGGATCTGGGAAGTCTTTCTGAAATTCCGGGTTGCCGGCGCGTTTCCAGAGACGTCCACCCGCTGGCGCTGGAGCTGCCAACGCTGACGAAGCGAGTAGCCAAATGGCTACCACTTGATGAAGACCCGCTATCATCTTGACGGTATGTCGCCCTGGCCAAGCGTAATCGTGGGGAAACAAGTGCGATGATGACCTTGATCCTTGAACGGGGATGATGTGCTTCCAAACAAATCCACCAAAGGGGTATATTATGCTAATGGAAATGATTTTTTCGAACGAGTTCGATGCGGATTGCTCAGTGTTGGCACTTCGAGTGTTGAACTATCAATCACCGCTCTGAGAGGGATTGTGTGATACGATGCCCAAGAGACTCTGTCCCTTATCCAACATCCAGGGCACCGGTGAACACAAGCTGTTGGCAGTATACAGGGGACTAGAGCACCGGCAATGTCGACGCAGACCGAAAGCAAGAGGGCGAGGCTTGACAGGATTTTTCAATCTTGATATCCAACCGCTGTCCTCTGTCGCAACGTTTAGAGGCTGGACTGAAGAATAAAATATAGACGACAGTAAATGGATAGCAGGTCTGCTGGGAACCTCGCGGCCGAGGTTCATAAATGACCATGCAGAGAACAAGGGGGGATGCACGTATGTCCTCGACCTGGGGTGAGTGGCATTGATGGAAATCAGTGACTCCTGGTGCTGTACAACTGGCGGTGGAAGTGTCTCGTCCAGGACGGCCGTAAGAAGGGTAGTGTAACCTGGAAGGTCGAGGCCTGTGCAGTATGCGCGTAAATGAGACACTTAACTCTGCCATACTGATGTGAGGGGATAACCAATATAAGTCGGCACACCCTCACTTGAGGAACTCCAGGCCCTGCAACAACGGCGATGGACAGTTTCTGAGCCGGGACTCGGAAAGGAGATTAGACCCTTGGTGTCACTTGATGCACACAGGGATGTTGCTTGCCTTGATCTACCGTAGACCAACGGGTCCAGAATTGGATGTAATCTCGAATCTGATAGGGGGTACCGCCTCCTTGGACCGGATTGGGTTGCCGTAAGCTTGATGAGCCGCAAGAGCTAAAACCTTGCCTGAACGACTGGAAATGCTCCGTGATGCGCTTAATGCATCAAGACTAGTGGGGACAACACCGCCCGAACGGGGCGTCGAGCAAGCCATGTCCGCATGGGTTGTCCATCCTGGAGAAGACTTGAATCAAATCGGGTTTGAATTCCGCTGTCTGTGGGCAACGAGAGGGACGCTGAGAGGGAGAGATGTGAGGTCCGCGCACTCGGTCTGTGTCGTTATCCTCCTTCTGGCGGCAAGAAGCGTCGGAGCAGCCGTTCGGCACACAAGGGCCACATATCGAGGGGTTTCAGCACCGAGAGAGCGACCAGCTTCGGCGGTGTTGACTGGTGCCCGCTGTTGAATCTCTTCTGACAAGCGGCTGGCAAACGATGCCAAGTTAGACTCCATGGCCGTAGATTACCCAAGATACAGGTGGTCAGCTCCATCCCCTGTCCGCAATTAGTATGCTCAAGCGGTTGCGGTAGTTCGTCTTACCTGCCGAGCAGCGCCGGAGAGTTTTGGCTTGGCAGGGCTGAGGCGAGGAGGCGAACCCTATTCTGGCGATGTTGGCTATCGAGGATTTGCCAGTTGCCGCGGATCGAATGCGGCGATCAGCGTTCGAGGCCTGGCCGGAACGCCTCTGTGGGCAATGAATGGGTCGGAAGCCCAGCTCCGCCGCGGATAGTTCTTGGAAATTGTGAAGAGAATGAACAACTTTACCCAGAAAAGTCCCGCCGATCCTGTATCATGCGAAACGAAGAAACACTTTGAACTCCGCAGAGGGACTCTAATCATGCGTTTCGAGCGGGGCCAGGAGGCAGGGAGGGGAGTCTCAACCACAACTTGCTCTCCCGCTGCCAAACTACCCAATGCCATTCGATTCGTAGAAAGCAGCACGCACCAGGGAAGGGGGAGTCGAGAATCGGCGTCGCTCGATGCCGGATGCCATGTGTGATCGACGACTGCTTTTCGGGATCTGCTGCCGTCCCGCCAGGCCCATGTGGTGTTGTTGCACCACTGCAATGGCGACGCGGCCGTCTCCGACATCACCAAGACTTTGTAGTGCCGGTTGGTTTTATCACAAATCGTGTGGCAGTGCACCTACGTCCACAGATTGGAGGCGCCGAGCCTCAATCAGGGATAGCAAGTGGGTTAGGGAGGTCAGAGGAGTATCAAACACTAATACGATTTTCCTCGCCTCTCTGTGCTCTCGTTGCGTTTCCCGTCGCATCTTGGCACGACAACGCCCAGGACACCAGGTGATCAGACTGGCGACGCGTAACTCAGCTCCCTGTAAGCCACCATCCGGTGTGTGTGGTTCCTGTATCAGATGGTTCATCCTAGTCCGACTCCTTTGATGCTGCTGCGCCTTGACGAAGTCTGGCTACCTCACCCAAGTGTTCGGACGAACTTTGGGCGGCAGAGGGCACCAAGGCCAGAGACAACTAACAAATCGTCAAGTATTACAGCTTTCCGCGTTCATACCTCGGTGTCAGACTGCGCGGGCTTTCCATATGCCAAGGTGCTGGCATTGTCAAGACGAACAAGCAAAACTACGTTTCCACGGCTGTCTGCACGCCGCCTCGCGAGATGCTCTCGTTGTCAATCAATGCTGGCATATCACTACCTGCAGGCCTATTTACCTAAGTATGGTGAGCCCACTTCACCGCCGATGGGCCAGCAAAAACAATCAAACGCAAATTCCCCAAACGCCTTTTTCCAAGATCCTTGTGGAATGTATCGTTACAGCAAACGCCGTGTGAACTACCAGGATGAATGACACGACTACTTTGACCAGTCAGGATGAACGCCCATGCGGCCGCGCATGCTGGGCAACATATCATGATACCGTGCCCTAGTTGCAGACGGCGGAGACCTTGTAGTATCTGACGTACGGCTTGCGCAGACCCGACTTCTAATCGGAATCATCAGAGTCACCGCCCGCGGAAGCCATCGAGGCCCGCTTTGCCTTCTTGGCGGCCTTCTTCTCGGCCTTCTGTCGCTTGCGCTCCGCCTTCTCCTCGGCCGTCTCGCCGTCATGCTTCTTCCGCTTCTTCTTGTCATCGTCCGCCGCAGGTGCCTCGGCCTCGGCCTTTGCAGGGGTGGCTTGGGCCGGGGCTTCTGACATTGTGATATCGGTCACTGCGACTGCCTCGGTCGCGGTGACAGTGCCGTCGGCGGTGGCGCTGTAATCCTTGTAGTTGGAGGTCCACGTGGTGGGAGTCTGCTCGTTGGGGCGGCCGTACTTGTCCAGCTTGCCGGAAGCCTTCATCTTCTTCTTCTCGGTAGCGGTAGGTCCCAGGCCCCAACGTCTCGGATACAAGTCTCTCTCCATAATGCATCGCTTGACCTTGGCGACGACGCCGTGGTCACAGGTGCTCATCTCCACAGTGCTCATCTGAGCAATGCCGATGGCGATGGCTTCACCCTTGGTCGTGATGAGCACGACCTCCTCATGTACATCAATGTTGGCCTCTGTAGGGCGTGTGTCAGCGGTTTACGGGTTCAGTCAGAACAAGGTCGGGTTGGGAGAGGGGAGGGGAGGGGGGAGGGTGTTCAGCTAGGAAAGCGTACCATATCTAAGGAGACCCGGGAGCATCAGTTTAGCACCATAGCAGATGGCATTGACCGTGCTGTCCTTAACGACAAGCCTCTTGTATCCGACCAACAGAGTCTCAAGGGGCTGGATGATCTTGCGCAGATAGGCCTCGTTCCTCTGGTTGTCCAGCATGTACTGGGCGTCGAGGACGTCGTGCAGGGTGACCAGGTCCTTGGTCTCGTCCATGGCACCACTTCGGACACGTCGCAGCTCCTGCATGTGACCACCGACACCGAGGAGCAGACCCAGGTGAACACAGAGGGTTCGGATGTAGGTTCCAGCCTCGCAGCTGACCCAGAAGACACCGAGGTGGCGGTCATTGTCGAACTCGATCAGCTTGCTCTCGTGGATGGTGCGGATACGCAGCTGACGCTTGACGGCCGAGATCAAGGGCGGGCGCTGGAAGAGGGCTCCGGTCAAGGTCTCGAGGGCGCGGGCAAACTGGGCCTCGCCGCCGGGCAGTTTGTCGTGCAGGCGAATGACGGCGACATACTCCTTACCGGCACCCTGCTGGGACTTGACGAGGCGGGTGGCACGGTCGATGCAGACGATCAGGCAGCCAGTGACCTTGGGGTCGAGGGTGCCCGAGTGACCGGTCTTCTCGGCGCGGAGGATGCGCTTGACCCAGGCGACGACCTCGTGACTGGAGGGGTTGGAGGGTTTGTCGAGGTTGATGACACCCGAGCTGATGTACGACTTGAGGTCTCGGTTCAGCGGCGAGCAGCCGTGGTCGATGGGGGTAAAGTGCCCGGTGCGGACGAGCACTGCGACGGTCAGAGTCAGCGCAACAGGCCTCAGAGACAAGAGCAGGAGAGATTGCATCACAAGAGACAAGACAAGACATGACGTCTCGTCTCATCACATTCACACCACACCACATCACATCACATCACATCGCATGGCATCACGTACGCTTGTCGTAGTTTCGCAGGAGCAGCGGAACCTGGCTCCAGTCGATGGCCGGGGTGGTAGCCTCGGGCTTGATGGTGAACGTCTCTTTGCCAGCCATGGTGTCGTCGCCGGGAGTACGCAAAGAGGGTGTTGGGGAGCGGCGAACAACAACGAGGTGAACGGCAAGAGGCTGGAGCAAACAAAAAATTCGATGCGATTGAAGCTCCAAAAATTTTCGGCTTTGCTTGTGGGGACGCAAAGCATTGGGAAAGAATTGAGACGCGCCACGAATCAATGGGTTGCGCCAATCGCCAATCGCCAATCAGCAGAAACCTGCCGCTAGCCCCTCCGGCCCCCTCCACTGAACCAAGCTCCCGCCACACACAAACAGGAGACACACACTACTACAGGTGACAGCCACAGCCACAGCTACGGCTACGATCAAATTTCACATGGGCAAGGAACAATGCCAAAGTTACTATGGTACATACACTGTGCTGTGTGCCGGCCGTCGAGACCAGATCGATGCCGTCCCGTCACGTCATGTATGTGGGTTGCAAGAATACTTGGTTTGTTAGCGAGGTAGGTAAGGTACCTACCTACTCACCCAGGTCTTTTCCGACCCCTCCACACGGTCACAATATAATACCCAACACCCGGAGCCTACAATGCCAGCTCCAGGTGTGCAACTAGTAACATGGATATCGTATTTGGTCCATGAGCCCTCCCGTCGGGATTGGGGCTCACGTAGCTGTTCCTGTAATTACACCTCCCAGAACTGGGATCCTCGAGACTGAAGACTTTGCTATCAAAGCAGATCGGTATCTTCCAAGCTCCGCAACTCCATGCAATTCCAGAAAATAGGACAATAGCAAGGGGAGCAAGACAAAAAAACAAAGACAAAAGTAAAACAAAAAGACACATGCAGACTAACGCACTCGAGTCTCGCCATCCACGCCCGCTCGCCCTCACAGAGCTCTGCCCGACCGAAGGTCTTCCTCGTCAAGTGACCGCTGCGGCGACGGTCCATGTCTGCCATAACCAGGATGGTTCAATACGGGCGCCTGAGAAGATGGCGGAGGAGGCACGTATTGGTTTCCGCCTCCGCTGTGCACGCCTTCCTGCATCTCATATCCATCCGAGGCGTCCTGGAGTCTGTCCTTCCCTTTTCTGTCGCCCCAGTAGCCATGCATATGTTCTGCGTCCGGGCTCAGGGCGACCCCTATGTTCTGTGTGCCCTCTGTAGGCCACTGTTGATGGCTGGGACCCTCCACCGCGCTGACAGGGCTGTTGTATTGTGAACTATACGGGGAGAAATACCGTGGGTACGTTCGGTCTGTTGCGGCGCTCACGGGCGAGGCGTCCCAGCCCCGAAGGGGTCGCTGACTGACTGGCGTCTCAAACATTTCCCCGGCACCGCCAGGGCTAGGCCACTGCTTTCTCTGATCCTCCCTTCGCCGAAGATAGGCCTTCCTTCTTCGCTTACCATTCATCACAATGCAGAAGCCCGTGACTCCAAGTAGGAGTGCTAGACCTCCTATAGCGATACCAACGATGGCGCCTAGGCTTAGAGGGCCCTGAGGCCCGGATGGCGTGACTGACGCCGTCGGCGTCGGCACGGTGACGTTGGCGACTTCAGTGGTGGAGAATATGTCACCTTGGATAGACAAGGTCTCCCCTGGACTTGGTTGCATCTTGCAATACCCATCAAGTATACTCATGTCTGTAAGCACTGGTCAGTGGAAGTCAGGAAGGATGCCAGAGGGGGGGGGGGGACGTGCAGTTCATGAACTGTTGCCCATTGTCCAAGGCAGCTAGACAATGATTGCATTTGGTGGTTTGATCGGAGCTCCACAGACTGCAGTATCCTGACGCAGTCACATTTGACTCGAGACCATCGTATTCGATCGCATTCTTCAGAGGTTCACAGGCAGTGCTGTCATCGGATTAGCAAGGGAGTGTGCCAGCACACAAAACCGGCCGACATACGTTGTAATGCACGGGTTGCTTCCCAGCCCTTCGCCAAACAAACAGTTGGCTGTAGCGTATCGCATGTTGTCTGTACAAGGATGTTTTGGTCAGTCTCGAGACGTTGCTGGGAAGCCGGCCCAATAGAACATACACAACATCGCCTGCAGGTCGGAATATGTTGTCTTCCCAATCTTGACGGAATATGAACTCGTCGATTCGCATGTCAAACATGCCCGCCAAACAACACCCACGGACGAAGAGTAGTCTGACTGCTCGCAGACCAGCTCGTCTGTCGCGGTCGACCCGGGCTGGTTCCCGCACTTGACTCTGCAAGGAGAGTCGGTAGGAGCCAAGACGGCGACTGACGTGCGCAAGAGAGCGCATAACACCAATACCCGAGACAGGACTGTCATTGTGAGCGATGTTGGTCGACCGTCCGTCCCGAGAGAGCAGAGCCAGCGGGTTGTTCAGACTCGAGTTGCCGAGTAACAAGGAAGAGCTATGCTTCAGAGTATGTGTGTAACCTTGTTTATGCAAGGTTGCTCAGCTCGCGAACGGCGCTGCGTCCCTTTTGTACATGCCACGAGGCCTGTATTAAGCGATGCTCATACGGTTGATGTCTGCTTCAAACGGGCCCATGCCGTGCGGAGGGGAGAAGCGATCAAATATCGTCCCAGGCTCTGAACACCTCATGCCATTGAAAGCAGCGATTGAGCCAGAAATCACCATAAGCGCGACTATCTCTGTTCAGGTTGGGGTCGACAGCACCGGCTGGGCCTGGTCACAGCCCGCAGCCCCGGAGGGGGGGTGGTATGCCATGATTCGCCAGTGGACGGTTGCATTAGGGGGCCGTATGCAATAGTGAAGCAGCTGGCCATTGAGAGTACGCAGCACGCCAGCAGACTCGGTGGTCACATTGGGGTCTGCAAGGGTCATGGAGGTCTTATCTGCTTTAAGCACCGTGATGGCTGGGAAGCCGACTATGGCTTCTGTGATTGGATATAACTAATGTCCTGGGGTCTGGGTGACAGCGAATCACGTACGTGACTACTACGTTGAAGCCAGGCCTCAGAGAAGGCCCCTGCAAGAAAGAGGCGCAAAGCCCCACAGTTTCCCTATCAGATCCATTCCAGCCGCCCCCATCTCCCGTTCCGTGCGAGACAGAGGTGTGCTGTGCCAACACTCCTGCAGCTAACTTGCGGAGGTGCACATGGATTGATCCGACATTTTAGCCCGTTTTGCCATCACGTCCAATGTCGACATGCACCGGACAACCAACATTGACCCATCTGGTGGATAAGTTGCGCCTTGTTGCATGGCAGATCAGCATGCTGCATCAGGTCAGAGCCATTATGATTGGCACCCATGACGTTGAATTAGACGCTCAGTCGTTTGATCCAGGCAGTCGGTACGGCGTGATTGGATGCCAGTAGTGGTCAACGCAAGGGACAATCGTTGTTTGTTGGCCAGATACTGTATCGTCGGCCAGCACCCGGGCATCCATGGCCTTTCGCGGCCCGATTACCACCTTCCATACCACTCCTTCCGATCTGTTATCGCCGATATGTCAAGTGCCCCCGCTCAAGCCAGAGGCTAACTAGTCGCCATGCAACATACTGGGACTGTGTCGCGAGGGGGTAAACAACCGCCCCGACCCCCCTGAACTCATACCAGAAGGATCAGAGGCATGGCGGGGAGGATATACGAATAGCCCTGGAGGTAGCTAGACGGCACAATAAGGCGAGATATATCAATGAACGATGCATCGGGGGTTGTAGACTAGAACCAATGCCGTCGGATACTATTGTACTGGCCTGCTCAGAGGTAATCTATGCCCTTCGAGATGGGCTTTCACCCCAAAAGGAAATCAACATACGCAAACCAGAAACACCACGCTCAGGCTATCCCAGGGGAAACCGACAAGGAAGAAAACAAAGACAAACAACAAGAATACGAACCCCAGTGGGTTTCCGTTTCACTTGAACCAAGCCTACCAAACCATACTCTTCGGTCTGTCCAGGCCTGAATTCAATGATCTCAATGGCGCAGGCTCAATAGCAGATATTGGCACAGAGACAGCTTTATCCCAGTCTGGCTCAAGGACCATTGCCTTGGGTGTGGGCGGAATGGACTCCGGGGTCGTTGGAGCTGACGTCGTTTCGATCGTGCGGATAGAAGAAGCATATTTATCAGGACTTTGTCCTATAGACTCCAGTGAAGATGCTCTGAGTGAGTTGGTGACGAAAGCTGCGGACCGTCCTCCAGAATTCTGAACCCGCTGTTGTTGGTGAGTGCTCTCTCCTCGCATACAATTCGACGGCTCTACCGGGGCCAGGGAGGGTCCTTTCATGTTTTCGGGGCTTTTATAACGTTGTGATGAGCTGTCTGGGCCTGGCGACCGTGTCCTCTGGTGTAGATCAGGAGGAGACATCGGTGCTGGCGATTTGTAGTCGGATAACTTCAGAGAGTTCTTAGTGTGCACCCATTTGGGGTTTCGCTGTCTCCCGCGGCTTGTGGCTCGTGCGTTTGGCAAATCAGGCGATGCCTGGGGCTTGCTAGAGCTTCGAATAGTGCTTGATATTTTCCCAGATCGTAGTCCAGGAGAGTCGGCATAGCTCGCTTTAGCCCCTTTCTGGGAATGTGAGCCTTCAGAGTCTCTCTCGGGGCCAACTCTCTCAGTTGCAGGCCGTTCCCTGCGCTTGGATGCGTGGAAGACGATGAAATCATCTTCGTCAGCATGGCATTCGAGACTGTCACGTCGAGGTCGTCGCCCTCCCTCTTCAAATACCAACAAATCTGCTCCAATTTTGTTCATGTCGGGTGAGATACAATGACGGTCCTGATCGCCATCAAGAACAGCAGACTCATCTATCTGATGGCGATTGTCAGTCTGGATTGCACTTCGGACACCAGGGTCTAACGGCGTAGGCCTGCGGTTTTGGTTTCTGCTTGGGCTATGGGTGTGAGGATGCTCTTCTGGCTTGGTAGCTGTGCCGAATGATCTTGTCCGGCTTTGATTCCTACTAGCGTTTCGCGACTTGGGCGACTCAGGTCGGAATAGTATGGTGTCATGTCCAACTGTTGGAGCTTGAGTGCGATGGCCCATGGCGGACGTAGGTCGCCTCGCCAGAACGGAATCCGACCGCTCCCCTCGACCAGTTCGGCTTGCGTTCCGTGACTTTGGAGAAGACGGTCGTGCTGGACATTGGTCTCCGCTTGACTGGGCTGCCGTTGTTTGGCGGAGAGTCTCAATCAACTCCGAGATTTCACTGGCCCGATCAGTATTCCGAGGTGTAAATACCTGGGATGTGTCTTCAGCCGGCTGGGCCTCGTTGGTGTTACTGGGCACCACTGATGAGTCTGTATGTCGAGACCTGGTGCTTGATGTTCGCGATGACGGCCTTGCAAAGTCTGGGGTTCTGAGGTGTTCTGGGGGCACCCAGAAGTAACGTGGCGAGGCAGGCGACTCTTCGAAGGGCGTGTTAGGAAATGTGCCAGTCATTGGTGTCAGGGTATCTTGACTAATGAAAACATGACCCCCGAAGATGCGCCGAGTAGATTCTCTAGATGCCTCCCCTCCATCGTCCACATGAATTGACGGTTTAGATGTGGTGGACCGCGATGTAGTAGAGGATGTCGACGCATTGCTGGAAGTCGGGGACTTGTCTTTCACAGACTTGTCTGCTACCGAAGCCGATGTTGTGCCAGTTACAGACACATCGCCAGCGACATTCGTCTCTCCTTCAGGTCGGTACACAAGTTTTGCAAAGGGTGGAAGGCTGGTATCGACGACCAGAAGCTCTTTCTCTCCGCGACCCAACAAGCCATATACACTAACCTCGCCATTCTGTATACCAAGTACGGCACTTGTCCCGGCGTACACTGCCTCATCTTCAAGGCCAGTTCGGTTAGCGAACACCACAATGATCTCGTCATCGTTATCCGCCCGAATAAGAGGCTCCAGACGCTTGACCCAGTAGGTCAAAGTTTCCATGTCGGGCTCCTTAGGCATGCGGCTGAAATGGCGGGCATCCTCTCTTGTCAGCCAGGCCATGGACAAGATCACCACATTTGCTGAGACATCTAGGATATGAAATGCGAACTCAAAGGCAGACCAAGGTGCCTCGAATCTGTAGGGACTGTATTCGTGTTAGTACGTGTTGAATTGGGGTGGCAAGTATTACCGACTTCAGGTCCATGCCTACATTCGTTCTGTTAGATTGAGCTCGATCCATTACAGGTTTCGTGTCGTAGACTCACAGATTCCCATAGCAATTCGCCCGATACCAGGGACAAACCCTTTGTGGAAGCCACTCGGACCCTCCAACGCCCAGGTTTCATCGGTGTAATAAAGATGCGACTTTCTGTAGTTCGCAATAGTCTCCCCTTCTTGGTTGACTACAATGACTGAGTTGTAATATTCGGGTGACGTTGGCCAGTGTGGCGAAACATCGACTTTTTCAGGATACCCAGCAGCTACAGTGCAATTGTACTTGAGAGCAGTGGTCCGAGCCCACAAGGAGGTGATACCCGCGCACGTTGGCTCGAGGAAAGGGGAGATATCGCTGAGAGATTTGAAATTGTACCCTGTAGTTCTGTCAGCGAAACGTCCCAGGCTTTGATCAAAGCCACTGTCTGCTTGCTTGCTTGCCCCATGTCGGGATGGAACCTGCGAGTTGCAGACAAGCCTCGCGCGAATATAGCCCATGGGCTCAACGGACGCACCTGAAAAGGCCATTTCGGGTAGAACGAGTAGGTCCAAGTCATCCGGATTCGCTCTGCTCAACACAGCATCGGCACGGTTGAGGTTGTTGTCGACATCGCCGACCTGAGGCGCGAATTGGAGGCACGCTATCCTCATTGTGAACTAAAGCAACAACTCTTCTCTTTAGATGCCGGCTCTCCCTGCCAACTACTACCGGGGAGACGTCTCCTCCTAAGTGCGTGCTGGTCGACGACAACTTTGCGAGGCATCCAGAGTACGACGTGAACAGGAATGAACCAAGGCTGGAAGAGCGGCAGAAACTTGTGCTTGTGGTCACCAGCGTGGCAGCCCGATATTTGGGAGAGCGGGCTCAGCAGGCTTGCCTTTCAACGGCCCGGGCAGCCCTTGTCATGGTCTACCAGCCCGCGCAGCAAATTAGCTCTCACTGCAAGTGCTTCCAGGAGCCGGGACTGTTGACGGTATCTTACCGAACCCCTCCTCCTCCCTTAGGTCGTGGGCGCATGCAGTCTACAGCCAACGAATTGCGAGTTGCTTCTAAGCGCCCACAAAAAAGCAGGGATGCCCCACGAATCATATCTGGCAGCTCAAATAGGAATTCTACCCCATAATCATGGCCAAGGGGCACGTGCATCCATCAACTAGCCCAACATACATATACCCCTGCCACGATTACATGTTTGCCAGTGCCACACCATATGTATGTGCCTGTCGAATGATGGCTTATCCTGTGGAGAGGAGAGCCCACCGCCTTCATTCAGCTCTCTTGTACGTTGGGCACTTGTGCGTACGAGTCCGCCCTGACGTGCGAGTCAACAGGCACGCTCAACGTCCCTCACCTCCCACCGTTTCTGGGCTGGCGGGGTCCCCTTCACAGGTCTTCCTTCATACATCACCGTGACCTCCGTTTGGCAAACTTGGAAAAATGTAGAGAGTAAGTCCACTCGACTTAGTTGAGTCTTACTCTACGCGAGTACCCTGCGATTATTTTACGAACCCAGCGTGCTGGACCGCGCTAAACCTATACCAGACTGCCGTTTAGCGCCCGGCCTGTGTTGAACTGGCTGACACGCCTGGCCTTGCAAGGCCTACACTGGAGTTGGCCGGACCTTCTTTCCACGCCAGCCTTCGAGTCGACCTCTTCCACGATGGTGATGCACGTCTTTAGATGCATGCTTAAGCGCCTCAGAGGAAAAGGTCGTCTTGATTGAGCCTGCGCCTTTGAATTTTGTCGATCACAACATGTTATCCCGCCATTGTAATACTATCTTAGGGTATGGCAGGCATACACCCCAAGTGAGACAATTCTGCATGAGTCTCACTGGACTCTTCAGGTCCTCTGCTGCTCATCGCAGCCCGTGTAGGCATGGTTCGCGCCACCCACGGTTTGCCATGACCACAATGTATCAGACTCCCGCTGACTTCAGCTTTATACTCTGCCTTCAGTTGCTAGAGGCTGCTGATCACTGGACGAACACTCCCACCAGAGAGCACTACTCATCTTTTCCCTTTCAGTACGTCTATACAATCGAGGATGATCGGAACAATGAAGCGAATTATTGATGGTCTGAAGGCCACATTATCCAAGAAAAATCAGTGATCGAAGGCCATGAAGTATCTTCTGGGTAACGCTTACTTACTTCTTCGTTGATGGGTAAGGAGACATGTTACCTATTCCCGGTTCAAAACACCAGGAATTAGCCATACAAGCTGTACCTCTAAGTCTTTCTACGGCAAATATTAATCTTCTCAAACTCCAGTAATTCCGGGCCTGTCTCCTTACAATGCACCATAGGTTTTAGTTATCTCTGTTGAAACTCTCATCGACATATCAGTATAGCGCCAGGGCCTGGACCGTCTTGGATTATCTGGAGGACATAACGCTACCAAGATTGTGTTTCTACCTCTCTCGGTCCCGGAAGTGCTGGTGGTTATCGGCGCACCAAATCAGCTGTGCGCCCTTTCAACTGAGGGGAGTCCCCTTATCAGAAGAGTACCAGCAGGCATATAACAGGTTCTAACAATCAAGGATCTCAAGCAGTAGCAGGACGTCGAACCCACAAGAAACAATGACCCTCATATGCCATATGCCGTAAGGCTTGAAGGTCTTAGGTGCAACTCCAAAGCAAAAAGAAAGGCCCACACACTCCACCTCCGGTAAGGTAGAACCAAAGCACAGGTGCCAGCGGATCTAGGTGGCCCAATTCAATGAACAGCTAGGAGCTGCGTTGCAGATGACCACCAGCGTCTATCACGCTTCAGTGAGCCACTTGCTATTATCCAGGCAAAGGAAGTAGCACTACGGAACTTAAAAAAAATTCGTCTACCATATTGGTAATTCAGCCACAAACAGCAGAAACCTCTGCATTTTAGTCCAACAAATATGGCCGAGTAATCTTAGAGACACTATCTAGACACTAATCCCCGCGGCATGAGAAGCATAACTCACCATTATTATTACTATCAGATCTACAAGTCCCGATGATGATGGATCTATGATGCCTGGTGATGATGGACTGGTAGCTGACTCGGTAGCTATTTTCAAAACGACACCGGAGACACTACGCAGTATAGATAATTGACCATGTTGAGCAATATTGGAACCCGTGCTGGAAAGTTTTTCTGAATATCAGAATCAAGCAGCATATTCTGGCTCGCCACTAGCGCCTCATGACCTCGTGTAATGCTCGAGATATGGAGACACTCATAAACCGTTTATTCGTGCAGGCTCTAGCGATAACCAGTTATAGCTTCACATAACATAACTGCAAGACAAGGAGTTGGAATGCAGCTAAGAATCTGTAGCCGTTAGTCAACCCCTAAAACTATTCATCCCGCCGTGCGGAGTGAAGTGCTGATTTTTCCGAGCTAATGTAAACATCTTGCGGGTTTTAGATCTCGACTGGCCAACTTCGAGCGTGGCTGAGTGACAGCATGGGGACCAGACGCGATAAACCACGTCGATAAGAATGAGCGAACACACCAGTTATAGACTTGAGGCAGTATACAACTCGGATGCTTCTTGGATGCTTCTGTATTGGTACGAGGCCTGGTTGTTGACAATACTGGGGATGCTCAGATTCGGTGTCCTTGCCAGACGTGTGAAATATAGAGCTCTGGACTGCGGTCTGTATAAAATAAAAATAAAAAATAAAACAAAAAGGAAGAAGAAGAAGGAGAAGAAGAAGAAGTACAGAAAAATCTAGATAGAGTAGGGAATGGTCTCTACTAGTACATATAGAAGGTGGCCACGTAGTTACTCGTAACATAATGATTCTTTCGTCGTACGCCATTGGGAACTCACTGAGCAGAGGTCTGCATGATCTAAATTCAGAAAACCCCCACTAAAACGCGCAAGGACAGCAGGGCAACCAAATGCTGGATAACTATTGGCTGGGGATGTTCGGGGAGAAAATATGGTTCCACGCCAAGTCGGTCAACGTGCGTCTGGTATGCAGCCACTATCACAGTCGCACTGCTAAATTTATTTATTTGGAAGTGCTAGGCGCGTGCGCGGCAAAGTCTCCGCTCCCAATCGTGCGAAGTAAATCGCGAAACTCTTGTTTGGCATCTGGGATAGATGCCTTGAAAGAAATGCCTAGTATTTCGTAGAGTTCTTGTTCATGAAGCGCTGGGTATCCCGTTGTGTTCTGCCACTGCCGTGTTCCAGATCCACCAAATAAACTTATGGTCTGATACTCAATGCCATGAAGTCTAATACCAATTCCAAGAACAATAAGAACAATGTGTGCTGGCCTCATTGGCGGGCTGCCGGTCTGTTCGGCTTCAATTGAAGGACGCATAATAGGCCGGCGTCTGTAAGTCCAGTCGCGGCCCAGTCGACGGTTTCGTTTCCCCAGCTGCTCATCAGTTCATGGAGCCGCCGTCATCCCTGATGTCAATCATTCGCTGACCACTCACTACCCACACTCTTTCCTGGTTCTCTTCGCGCGTCTCGGTTCCCGTTCTCGAAAGACGTTCCTATTGGTCGGAATTTAGTTGGGTGGCCGGGCTGCAGCTGCTGATTGCTGCAAGAAGGCACCTAGTGGATCTCGTGGCTTCTACCCAAGGTCCGGGGTAGACACCTCTTTCATTGGCTCGAAGCCAACCGTTGACTAGGGTCAACAACTTCCGGGTTGTGCTATTCTGAGAAACAGTGCCCACCATGGCCGCTTCTCATGCGCCTATCAGGCGTTGCATATCGCCATGCAAGGATTTTCGGGTTCAGATTGATGCTTAGCCCACCACCAACGCGCCTGTGAGGCGCCTGCCTTACCATCCGTTTCCTGCTAGGCATAATACGGCGTCGACTTATAGAGAACATGATCCTCATAACGGCAGCTGTGCTATTTCCTGGATGAGCTCCTACTCTTTCCACCTCTTACGGCGCGGGAACTATCGTCAAAGACCTCCATCAGCTGTGACGAACTGCATACCGAGGTGACACGGTATGCACCTGCGTGGACGCCATGGTTGAGTGTTGGTGATATTGTTGAATTATCCCCTTTCTTCTGGCAAAGCTACACTTCGTAACCTACATTGCAAAACAAGGCCATACAATGCTTCTCTCCATCCTAGCTTGCTCGCTTCTCTTCCGAGCATATGCTGTTGGACTGCAAGTAAGCCCTAGCTCATCATGTGCTGCCGTCTGCCTCGACGACCCAGAGTCCGACCCTCTTGATCCAGCCTCGTCCTCGACAACCCCACTGGATATTACATGCAGCGACGAAGAGTACCAGACATCGAGCAAAGCCATCAAGTTCAAGAACTGCGTAGAGTGCTTACAGGAGAGCAAGGACATCAGCGGCAAAGAAAACGATGTGGCATGGTTTCTCTGTAGGATTGGACTCGCTGTGACTAGGAGAAACTCTGGGGCTAATGTACGCTTATAGACAACCTACGATACTCGGTAGACGTGTGCGTCTACGGGTTCCCGAATGCTACCAAATCGGTCTCATCCCCCTGTGATCTTGACTCTGCGTGCCAACCCTTCAAAAAGGCACTCGAGGTCAATGGTTTGGACCCCGACAAAGGCACCGAGTTCGACTACTGCGAAGCCGATGGCGGCAAGTTCTCTGGTGCACAAGTAGATGCATGCATCCAGTGCTTCGATAGCAGCTCAACACAGGCGTACATGGCAAACTTTATAACTGCCCTGAAAGCTGGCTGTCAGCAGAGGCCACAACCTGGCCAGCTCATCGGCCTGAGCGGCTCGCCTTTCACCGAGTCACTCATTAAGATTACGACTCCTCCGACCAATGGGACACTACTATCGAGCTCTTCGAATGCCACTGCAATGACGACTGGTGCAATAGTTGGCATCGCAGTCGGAGCATCCCTCTTGTTTCTCGGTGGGACTGCTCTTTTCTGGGTTTATTACCGAAAACAGAAGCAGCTTTATCCAGACGACTTTGGCTCCCAGTACGACCCTCGCTCCGGGAGTAAATCTATCTCCCCCCCACTTGTCGGTGGCTTCAACTCCAGAGAAAGCCATGAGCATTCGCTTCTCAGCGACTACGAGCTCAAGGCGCAACAAGCATACACAAGCAATGCTGAATACTACGACCAACTCGAAAGGGGGATGAAGACTCGCCATCCACAGTACACATTTGACCCTAACAATCCGGGGTCAGGGCCTGCAGGTGCTCTTCCAACACACCCAGCATATGTGCCCCAAGCGCTCGGCCGTAACTCCTCGCGGAACCCATCACCACAACCTTCGAAGCCAACGAAAACCAACAAGCCGGATTCGTACGCCTTGGCCGCCTATCTGAATGCCGCAGAAGAAGCCTTAAGTCTCCCAGGCCCACCACCGGGCCCGCCGCCGGCGGTACACTCGCGCGGATCTTCGCCCGGCCGAGGCAGCCTACCTTACGCAAGCCGTCCAACCCACAACCGCTCAGCAAGTACCCAGTCAAAGCATGATTCGCTGGGGCCAGCGCCGCGGCCACCCCCACCGCCTCCTCGTCAGCCGAAAGTGCCATCGCTCAGTCTGCCCTCGGTGCCCCGGATCCGGGTGCCCAAGAAATATCCACCACCGAAGATACGGATTGAAGGTGCAACGCCAGTGGCGGACAAGGGCGAGGTGCCGATCGGAATCGAGATCTCGAATCCCATGATTCAACATGATCGACGCTTTGTAGAGGATCCGCTCGAGGCAAGGCGGATGCATAGCCGGACTCAGGCTTCCCAAGAGATTGTTCAGCAGAATGCCGTTGATCGACGACCAAAATGGGCAACAGAAGAGATTACACTTCATACTGGCAAGAGCTCTATGTATGGTTAAATTGATGCTTTGGGTACGGATGAAATTAGCTACGATACCACGGGAATGGAGTTATGGCATTCGTTGGCGTTTTGATCCGTTTGGAAAGACTACCTCGGGCTCGGTGTATAGCTAGTAAAACCCATTATATTCACACGGTATGGCAGGGCCGCAGGATTTCAAGTAGCAGAAAAATGCTTCGAAATTTCACTTAACGTAATGGAAGAGGTTGATTCATACTATGTACTGACGATGCACATCTCTAAGATTAACCCAATCGTCGGCCAGGACCAGCACTTCTCCACGAGTCGGGCAACGGTCCGCTTCGTGGCTGCTTGTCCTTGGGAGGCACATACGTGGACCCGTACAGAGTGTTCTGTATACGGGGAGTGGTCATGATCCAGGAAATAAACCAAGGTGTGGGCAGCAGATTAGGTCCGTTCCCAAACTCGGGGTAGATTCGCGTGCAGAAGTCGTGGAAATGCGCAGCAACCAGACCAGTGACGCCGATCAGAAAGTGTGACATGCCCGCCGTCAGGAGGGTGACCAATAGCAGGCAAGCTGGCATCAACTGCGCAGGAATCGTAACGACGTAAAAATGCGCCGTTTGGCCCCTCTGGTCTTGCGTGGCTGTGTAGCACATGGCAATCAGGAGCCCAGTAAGGTATGCGAAGGTGATGCCGGTAAAGACCTGATTCAAGATCTGGAGACACAATTAGCTGCATGCACAACTCTCGGTGCGGCCACGGCCACGGAAAGAAAGCACGTGTTTGATATTGGAATGTAGGGCGCTAGAAACCACCTGAGCAAATGCCGCCAGAAGGCGTCACCCAAGTCATCCATATAGACATCCCACCATGCTCACACCTTGACTGGCCCTGATTGTATTTTGCGAATGACGGACCAGCCAAAAATGCAAGGGTACTCTTCCTCAATTCCAGGAACCGTCATAGCCGTAGAGACAATTCCACTATGCGGGCAGATATTTGAGGTGCTGTGTGCATATTTCACATGTGCAGACAAGCTGCGGGGGAGAACAGGCAGAGAGCGCGAAACAAAGGAGAATGAGTATGCTGCGGAGAAGCCGATGAAGACATCGGTGCGCAGGAGAAGAGACGAGAAGCACCTACAATGATGACCGAGCCGACAACCATCAGGTACCATATCAGGTCCTCCTTCCTCGAGAACTTGGAGTTGCTCTTTTCCAGAGTACTCAAGTACGAGAAGACAAAGTATGTATCGAAGAGTACCCCGAGGTTCGGCCCTGTGAGGAAGAAGGGGAGCACAAGTCGATGGAGGGCGGGCGGGAGCTGCCAGAGGTGGCTGTAGTGAAACCAGAACGGCCCCGACGAGATCATACCCGTATAGACCGCGACGGAGCAGGCGAATACCATGGTGGCAACCGTCCTGGGGGTTCGCGGTTAGCTCCCGCGCCGATAGAAGACGTAGATGCCTGGATGCTCACCTGGCAATGGGCGGGGCGGCCCAGTAGGCATCGACGACGGCCATCTTGTTGCCTTGCAGCAGTGTCAAGCAAGGCTAGCAGGATGCGGAGGCCCGTTGAAGGTGCTCAGGTGCTCAGGTGCTCAGGTGGTCTGGGTCGAGGCAAAAGAAAATTTGCTTCAGTGGGGGGGGGGGGGGGAATCGAAGACGGTCACGTCGTTCGAGCAGGACGAGGAAGGGGGACAGGAAAACACGCCGAGTTTGCCTTGCCTGTAGAACAATGTCAAGGCGGGAGGGAGCAATGTGGCACGACAGGCAAGCAGGCAGACGACTGCGCCGCTGTTTGCATGTTGAGCCGGGTCAAGTAGAGAACTGGCCGGGTAGCTTGGGGGGGAAAGGAAGTGAATGGAGGGAGAGGCTGGAGGATTTCCGATGTTGCAAACTGGCTTTTAGCTCTTGCGGACCAAGGACCCAGGGCACCACAAATTGACAGACCCTAGCGCTAAAGGAGATGGCGGCCCTGCACTAGCCAGCCGGCGACCCAAGCTCCTTGCGAGCCTGAACAGGTTGCAAGCCCTTGGTCACTTTGCACCAAATACGTCAGTATATGCAGGGTTTCATCGACCGAGAGGCCGTCTCGGGATCGGCTCGAGATGTGAATGTATTGTTGCTGCTGTTGACTTGATCGTAAACGAATATTGTCCTTGGAGTCGCGCACCAAGCTCGCCTCTCCATTGTACTTCACCCATGGCCCCGGCATTGTTGCAAATCGAGGTCCAGTGAAAACGGGAAAGACGCGCTCGTTGCATGCCAAATAGTCCTGGCCTCCATATCGGCGCTCAAGTAAGTCACGGCTCGAGGCAACGATTCCGCGAGAAGACCAGAAGACGCTGTCTACGTTACCGTGATCGCCGAGGTGAATGCAGTCTTGTGGGAGAATATAGTACTTCATGTAGCTAAAACCGGAACCACTCTCTCCTCCACACCAAGTTTCGGAAGACGGCTCTCTGCAGACCATGTGTCTCTCTTGAGATACCGCGAGAGAGGCCTGGTGTTTGCTCCTCCCGGCAAGCGCGGCTCTACGCAGCAACATGTTGGCAGAGTTGAATTGTCATAGTGAACACCGTTCTCAGTGTCGGTGTCATTTGTTTATAAAGCCATAGCTCATATGCCAGCCGAACGACATCTGTCTCAACAGCCCACACATTGGGAAGAAACACCCACGCCACTTGAAGCACCATTGGCCGTCCAAATGTTGCAAAGTTTCCTATTCTTGTCATCCGTCGTCAGGTCCGGCTTGAGCTCGGCAAGCCACGACGCTTCAAGGGCAAAGCTTGGCACCTGGACACTCTCCAATAATGACATCAGCTGCGAGGATGGCACTTGTTCTTATTCCTTCAACATAGAGGAAGAGGAGAGCGGTGTTACAGACGCCTGTAGGTTCGAGACCCATGGCAGCAGTCGCGCCCCGGCGAATCAGACAAACTTCGAGAGCGTTAGGTGCGGCAGAGACGGGCAATATGCCGTGAATGGTGGCTACGTGGTAGACAACACCAAGACGACGGGGGTCGTCCTGGTCATTACAAACACTGTCCGGGCCTCGTGGGCCTTCTTTGGCTATAATTGGGATGAGATTGCGGATGGGCCCTCGAAAGTCTCGCCATCTTATCCTCTCGGGGAGTTCCCAGCCACCAATGGGGAATTTGAAGATGCAGTCGACCATTCTAGGGTTTGCTGCCTAACCTTGGGTTCAGGTTCGGTGTCTCCTCTCTGGAATGTTCGAGGTAAGCCACAACAGGCCGGGACGGGGGGTCCTACCCAACATCGCTAATACTCTTTAATCTAGTTGTGGATGAAGTTGGTGTGCACGTCGATGCCATGCTCTTGGACCACGATGATGATGATGATATGTGCTGCGTGATCAACTTGGCACCCCCTGAAGGCATCGACCCCAGGTCTTGGAGTTTATTCCACCAGAAGTGTCGCGCTAACAATTGGTCAATGTCTCGGGGTTATCAGCCCGTCCACGATAGTGCTGTGATGGTTTTTTCGGAGTAAGTTGATGTCCATGCATGTCGCCGGCCACTTATACCATTGTTCGTCGATGACAGTCCAGACTAATATCCATTTCGCAGCTCTGACAATGCAATCCAGGCCTGGTTCGCTTGGAACGAGGTCAACTCGATGATCGAGCTGTATGCTCCATCCTCTGATGACAAGGAGACGTTGTGCGCCTGCTAGGGCTGGCTGGCCTTTGTTCACTACAGATAGACATCTACATGGTTGATATGACGTATTGGGCGTTCTTTTCTGAACAACTTCCAACTGAATTTCACGTCATTGTGAGCTTAAGGTAGGGAGATAATGTAATGCTGTTGTTAAGATACGGACCTCGGGATTGAATAAACTTGTAGCTGTGAGGAATGCCTGCTTTCCCGTGCGATCACCCACCTATCCAGGTCTTCGAGTAGCAGGGATGGAGTGTACATCGGTTGATTCATAGATGAGTTAAAGTAATGTCCAGGCATCATATGCATGCATAGCCAACTCTTGCGTTGTGTCTTGAATGATGAGCCAGGCAATTGCCCAATACAATGGGAGTTGGAGGTTGAGCATAGGAATAGCTCCCGTTTACATCCTCGTCGGGCAACACTAGGACAGAGGCGCCTTCCACCATTATAAGACCTTTACGGCCTTCCCACTCGTGTCTAGTTGTTTCGCGACCTCATCAATGTTGATTGTTTCTTCCCCCTTCCGAACTCGTTCGACATCCGGCACCGAAGAATGTTTCTGCCCCTCGAAGAGCGCATCAATTTCTTCTAATGTTCTGTCCTTGGTCTCAACCCAAAAAAGTGCCTGTAGCTTGTCAAATCCTGCACACAGTATTCTTTCGAGGCTAAGAGACCCACAATGAGTACAGCTACGATGATGTCCCACGAAGCGTTGATGATGTACATCTTCCAGCCGATATTGTTGATACCAATCGGCATCACAAAAACCAAAAGTAAGCTGCGCGAAATGTTAGGACAACCTCGGAGTATTTATGGAGTATGTATTGAGGGTACTAACGCGAGTGTGTTGAGTCCGAGCTGTGACATTGCCACTCCGTTTGCGCGAATCGAGTAGTTCATAACCTCTGGTGGATATATGAACAACAGCGGCGTCCAAGCAATGGAGTAGAAACCTTGGAAGAGAAACATCACTGCAACATCACCATAGATCAAGCTTGTGGAGGCACCACCTGGGTCATCGGAATACATCTTAGAGAGACCGCCGATAATATAAAGACAGATCACCAGGAGCATCTGGCTGATTAGTGCTGTCGGTTTGCGGCCCATTCTAGCTGTTAAGTGAGTCCCAACGAGACAACAAGCAAGGCACCACACGTTCAGGACAACGTTCTGCTCCAGGGTCAGCGAACGACAGAATACGGTTTTCGAAGAAGAGGCTAACGGCTTTTAACTGGTCATTGGGTTCCACCACACCAGCGGTTGTGAGCTCAGCCCCAAGATAGTAGGAGGCAATAATATTCCCTGCTACACAGGAGAATGGACCTGCCGACATCCCAATAAGTAAACGTTTTCTGGCAATTGGGGTTCTGAATATTTCTCTTGGGCTCATGGTCTTTCCGTCGCTTTTCTCCCATTCGAGTGTGTCAATGATCTCTTTGTAAACCGTCATTGCCACTGGATGGGACACATTTCCGTTCGAATTTGTCTGGGCAACAACAATACGGGCCTCCTCGTAGAAACCTTCGTGCACCAACCAACGTGGAGATTCAGGGCTGCTCGATCAGTATCGCCAATGAATGCATGTTCCAGAGCTGCCACGTTGTGGAATGCACTTACATGAAGGGCAAGATAAGGATGCACAGCAGAGAGAAGACTCCTTGCACCAAAGAAGGAGCCCTCCATGCCCAGTTTGACTGCCATTGACCGGTCCCAAGTGTGATCCCAGCCGCAATGAGGGCACCGACACTATGATCCGTGAGATTACCGGAGTGAGATTAGTTCCTAGGACCTACTAGTAGAAATCGTTCAAGAGACCAACACCCCACGCTCTCCATCTGCTCGGGAATGTCTCAGAGAGATATACGCTCCCAGCAATTCCAGATAGGGCCACGCCAAAACCCAAGAGGACACGAGCGACAACAAACATAGCGATCCCATTTGCCGCGGTTTGGAGTAGAACGCCAATAAGAGTGATGACAGCGCCCCAAAAGATTGCCGGACGACGCCCGAGCCGATCAGCAATGAGACCAGCGACCAAGGGCCCAAGACAGCCACCAATGAACACTGAAGCTGTGTTCAGACCCGTCGTAACCTCATTGAGATTGAAAAAGTCCTGGTAGGATGGCAATATATTCAATCCATTTAGCATCGATCCGTCATAGCCATTGGTCTGTTAGGTGTCAGTATAGATAGGAAACCAAGTTTCGTGGTCTGAGAGGTTCCCGGCTTACGCAGGAGTTCACAACCGAGCACACCATCAGAAGACCTGCCAGAGTTGTCGTAGACTCTGGCACCCAGGCAGGAATCCAGGTCCCTGTTGCGGATCTTTTCATCATGGAATGAGATAGAGCACTCTTAAAGCAATCGAAGATAGACGTTGATAATACGATAGATTCCTCAACAGCAGCACGCAAAGATGAAATTTGCCTGATATCTGCAAAGCGCAAAGCCTCGGGTCCTCTATTGGCAGAAATATCCAGTGAATGCCACCTTTCTTGGGGATCCTAGTCTCTCTTGCGAGATCGCAGAGCCTTACTGCGAGTTTAGGCGAATAGTAAAAGCCCATGATTGGTCGATCGCCACACGATAAAGCAAGTCCTCTAATGGGACGTAGCACGACGAGCTTCCCCTCATTCAAGGCGATGTGCCTCCACCGACCAGCAAATGGCGGGCTGCATGAATGATGTGTCCAGATACGCCATGTCAATCCGGACCTGAAAAGCCCTGATTTTGGGGACGTTATGGCACTCGCGTTGCACGGCAAGGTCTCACTTGCATGTATGATACGATGTCCTCGAGACTGACTGGCAGTTCAAGGCGACTGCCATGAGTGGGGACGATGTTGGAAACGTTGCAGTTCTGAAAACTTAGTGATGTGACGGCATCACGGCACAGTAGGCAGATGAAGTGGAGGTGAATACCTAGGTACCGTTGCCATTCTTCATATCCAGTCCAAATCTAACCGTCTTCCTGGCTCTGGAGACTATGGTGCAGAATAAGATTAGAATGCGGATTCGCAGCTAATCACGCACTTGTGAAACGTGTTTGATAGACTCACTCTGCCTGTATTCTATGCCGCTCGACTGCTTACGGGGTATCTGACATCAACTACTCGTTACGCGGACTTAATCTGCAAGTAATCTTATGAGCGATGTCCCAGTCGTGTGTGATTGAAAGGTAAGCCTAGGCCACTGGTTCAACACCGTATCGTGCCTTGACGTGTAATTTCTGAAACCAATCAGTGCTACCTTCTATTGACTCAGATGACCGCAGGTGCAAAGTATTTTGGGTATTGTTCCAAGGTGATACGCACATACTCAGGGGATGATGAATCCGTCCTGTTGCCTGAGTGAAACCACCGGATCGGGGTTAGTAGGGCTTCCTGGCAAACAATCACCCCAGGCAGCAATCACCCCCCAAGCCAGCAAGAAAAGTATTTAAAGACCGTCTCCCTCCGATATTCTTCATGGTTTCTTTCTTTCCTTCTTCAAACTTACCTTCGCGCGGGTTGGGAAGATCAAGCACCTCCCAACCCAGGATAGGACGCCTGCATTGCACGCCGCGGCGTGGACTGTTCTCTGGTCAGGCCTACGTGTTTGCCCACGCACGGCAATTTTTGTTTCCCACACTCTGCGTTTTCGTTGTGCTCATCACTGCGCGTGGTGTCATGAGGAAGACAATCCTGGAGTCATTGGTGTGACGCCTGAGAAGACAGTAACGCGTGAGAACTCGGTACGAACCCATAATTTGGCTTTGCTTCCATGATCCTTGGGGTAGCTAAGAAAATCGAATCCTGAGGCCATAACGCTACCTACGCTTGGAGGTTGGCAGGGGTTTCTTTGCCAAGAAGCCGTATTGATATCGTAAGGCCGAGAGCTCGTGACGACCACCTCAGCTCAAACAATGGCAGGGTGGAACAGCAAGCAAGTATCCACAGAAAATAAGGTCCTAGCAATTACTCATCTGAGAGTGGTGTGATGCCTTAGCCATATCATTGGGAGCGGCACAGCTCCCTTGCCCTCAGCTAACGGGGGAATTGGACGTGTGGCTCTGCTGGACGAAGCACCGCAACATGGACGGATAACGACGCCATGACGACGCATCGATAATTCACCGTCATAGAGAATATTCAACAATGGTTGACTTTGTTCCCAGAGATTTGCCCAGCTTGGCTAATTAGGCAGAGCTGGTTCTCCTGGTACATGAACAACCGAATACGAACGCTCCTCATCGTACCCCTTTCGAGGCCCAGACGAAACTCTCGAATGCAAGCACACACTACGGTAGTGAGGGTATCAAGTAGCATTCTCTGGAGAAAATTTGCATGTAGCCCATGAGTGTTCGCTCGCTTGGGAAGCAGCGCGGCTCTCCAGCCGGCTACAAAGACTTATGGTAATGAATATCTGTAACAAATATCCCATGCGCTATGTCCATTAACACAAATCCATGATACATACGAAGAGCAACACCTCAAAGGAGAATGAGCCACCGGCTGGCCGATGGGTGTTTGCAGTAGCGTGCTCGATTAGGCTAACTGGCGAATCGACGGAGTGCAGTCAGTGGAATGGATCAGCTCTAACGTTAGTTAAATTCGTCGCGTTTCACTAGTACCAAGAGGAGCGTTTGGGCAGTGACCGGCGATGACAGGTAATGTATGAGGTTCAATTGAATGCGAATTCTCTCTATCGATCTCCAAGTTACCACATCGTATAGCACATGTGCCTTGTTCATGTAAATGTATACTTTAGACATTCACGCCAAAGGGTTCCCTAGGCAAAGTCAATTTCCCAATCCGCCCCAACTCTGGCGCCTAGCCGTCCTACAGTGGCAAAGGCGGCGCGGCCGCCTTCAGCCTTGGTGAACTGCAGAGGAACCTTGTGCGTCTGGCCCTCGGACTTGACTTCAACTTCGGTCTTGCCTTCCCACGAGGATGGGGCGCCGACGATGATAATCTTGTCAAAGCTTACGTCGTGGAAGCGCTTCATCCAGTCACCCTCACGCAGAGCCTTACCCTCGTGAGTTGAGGCAGGAGAGGATGTCAACAGCAGCTGGTGGAACTCGAATGTCCGGTGAATATACTGGCCCTTCTGGTAGTCGAAGCTGTCACCGTCATCGACGTAGAGCTCACCCTTGGCAGCCAGGTCCTTGCCAAGAACGACAACGAGGGTGTAGTCATCGTACTTCATGAGCTGCGTGGACCGTCGAGGAGTGTCGCGACGAGGGAAGATGTGTCCACCACGCATCAAGATGGGAATTGACTCGAGAGGTGCATCGACTGTCACCATTTTACCCTTGTGCGTGTTCAACTTGTTGTAAGTGAAGTAATCGTAATACACCTGATCATCAGGAATGTAGACGTCAGCAGCCACCTTCTCCTTCTCCACGACGGGCTTAACCAAGAGGCCAGTCGAGCCGACGAAGAATTGATCATCGACAGCAAATCCACTTTCCTCGCCTGGGTGAGTCCAGTACATAGGGCGGATGATGGGGCTGCCGTCTTGGTTGGCATGGAAGAAGGCGGTATACCACGAAGGCATCAAACTGTAGCGGAGGCGCAGGGCGGAAGTGATGATGGAACGGTAGGGCTCAGCGGCCATGTAGGGCTCACGGCGGCGAGCATCAATGTGAGCATGGCCACGGAAGAAGGGGTAGAAAGCACCAGCCTGGTACCAACGTGACTGGAGCTCGAGTTCCGGGTTGCCGAAGAAGCCTCCGACATCAGCACCTGCAAATGGGAAGCCAGCGATGCCCTGGGCAAGAATCATGGGCACAGCGGCGCCCAGGTGTTCCCAACTGGCCTGGTTATCTCCCGTCCACATGGCACCGAGACGCTGCGAGCCGGCATAGAAAGACCTGGTGAGCACAAACGGACGCCTTAGCTCACCCTTCTTGCGGCTAAGAAGAGCCTCGAACGTGGCGTTGTGGAAGGTCATGCCGTTGATGTTGTGAAGGTCACGATGCTCCCAGTCATCGTGGTGCAGATTGTCCTTCGGCATGGTCACTTCTGGGCCGTTGAAAACGGACGGCTCATTCATATCGTTCCAGATGTACGTGTTCTCCATGGTTCCCTTGAAGGAATCATACTTGAACAGAGAGGTCCACCACTTGATAGCGGTAGGATTGAATGCATCAATCCACATGGACGAGCCCGGCCAGCACCAGCCATCGAAATAACTGCCCTTGTTGTTCTTGACAGCCAGGCCCTTCGACTTGAGCTCGTCAATGACGGGGTAGCTGCCAGTATTCTTAATGTGCGGGTCAATGATGGCCACCAACTTTCTTCCGTGCTCGTCCAGCTGCTTGCCCATGGAGATGGGATCCTTGAACATGTTGGGATCCCAGGTGAAATACTTCTTCTCGTCGGTGTATTCAATGTCGAGCCAAATGACGTCATAGGGGATCTTGAACTTGTCCATCTTGCGATCGACCTCCTTAACATCGTCGTCAGAGACGTAGTTCCATCGGCATTGGTGATAGCCGAGCGCAAACTCGGCAGGCATGGCCGTGGTGCCGGTCAGTTCGCCGTAGGTCTTGCTGATCTCCTGAGGGGTGGGGCCCAAAAAGACAAAGACATCCAACAGGCCCGACTCGGAAATCCAGTGGGTGTGGGTGTTGGTCTTGGTGCTGAGACCAAGGGCCAATGGGTTCTTGGACTCCTTGGCCTTGACAATGTCGATCCAAGTCTCGGCCCCGTTGAGCCAGAAGACGCCGACGGTCGAGTCCTTCCTCTGAGCCTGCATGAAGGGGATGGCTCCGTACAGCGTCATGGGGCTGTCCAAGATGTACTCGAATACGTCGGCGTTGTAGAGCCTGTACGGCTCGTTGTAGTTGCCCTCTCCACCCCGAGTCTCCTTCAGAGACAAGGGCCCGGCGTGTTCCGGGATGCCGTAGACATGCTCGTAGCCCTGGAAGGAGATATCCAGAGCGACACTCTCCGGGCCACGAGGTTTGGTGTCCGTGTTGCCGCCAAACGATTCGTCCCACCAGGTGCTTTCATCCAGGTGGGCGGGGACCTCCTTGGGCTCCTCTTGCTTGTCGCCTTCCTCGCCTTCCTTCTTCTCGGGTTCGGCCTTTTCGGTCTTGGGCCTCCAATGCTCCATGTTGAACAGACCGCGGTCGTTGAGCTTGATGTGCGAGGTACCATCCCGCTTGAAATCGACGGCGAACGGCTCGTATTTGATCTCGGCCTCAAAGGACAAGTCGGGTCCGTATTTGATGGTCATGCCGGTCTTGCTCTCGTGTGCGACCTTTGCGTCCTTATCCAGAGCCAGGCCTCCCACGACGGCCCACTTCTCGGCTTCGTTATATCTCTCTCGCCTCGCACCGCTCTCGTGCCTCAGCTGGATGTCCTTCATCTGGCGTCTCTCCTCGTCGACGGTGACTCGTGCGGCGCCCGACTTCAAGAAGGAGACGGTGACGGGGAGGTTGACGACGGCCCCTTGGTCGTCGGTAGTCTTGAGGATGTTGGCCTGGAACTGGCCGTCTTTGAAGGCTACTTTATCGGATGTGATGGCGTAGGGCGGCTGCCACGACGCGCCCTGGGCAACGGCATGGTCGGCGTAGGCTCTGTTGCGCTTACAGAAGCCGGACTGGTGGCACTTCTTGAAATCGTTCTCCTTGACCATCACTGCGGCGGGGGGTGAGTTTCCGGCGTGTGAGTTGTACAATCGTGGCTACAGCAACTTACCGGCCGGCGTGAACAGCAAACAGAGAACCGAGAGAAGGCAGAGGTAGGCCGTCCATGGCGAGGACAGCGGGCTGCAGCCACGCATCGTGCGGTGCGTCCCCGGCGAGGGGAAAGGCTAAAGCGGTGATGTCGTAGCTGAAAAAGAATGGAGGGTGGCAAATAGTCCAATTGGGGTCTACGTGCCCATTGGAAGCTGCAAGTGTCGGTTGGCCGGTGCAGGTTGTTGGCCGGTGTCGAGGATGATGTTATGGATATCGACGATGGAGTGTTCTGAGAGTGAGTGTTCTGAGAGTGACCACCAAGATGCAGCAGCATCGACTTGCCACGAAAGCTGTCCCTTTCGCCGCGATGTAGAGCTCCCGAAAAGGGATAGGCGCCGGGTCTGCCAGCACCCAGCCGGGTCAGCCTGCCAGCTAAAAGCCTGGGGCCCCGCTGCCGCTTCGCTGGAGAAGGACTGTGCGAAGTCGAATTCCATTCAGCATTTTTCAGGCAGGTGGATGAGTGCAGGTTTCCCCCAAAGTCTTTCGAGCAATCCGCTTATCATTCTGTCTTGCGTGGTCAACTGGTCTGCTAGTCTACTGTTGGTCTAGATCTTGTCGATGGAGGGAGGCATTGTTCTTCATGGCTGCCCCCCAAATCAGAAAACTCAACCTGGCTACATACAGTAGAAGGTATGATTATGGTGAGATGAGCGTGGACAACCCAATCCTCGCCGTAAACCAGCTTTCCCCATTGTAGTACCGGCAGTCTGGCCATTGTTCCGTTCCACCTCTTCAGGCGTTCGAGACATATGAACAATCAGGAGCCTTCCAAAGGGGAAGAGTATACCTACAAAATAAAGAGGCCCCCCC